GACGTGAGCAGCCGTTTAACGGCTATATCATGCTGATTTCTTAATGTTTTCCTTTTTATTTGTACACTTGACGCATTTGAAAACAGCCTAAATAATGCAACAAAACGAAAATAAACCTATACGCGGTCCTACAGCCTATTATTAGGATTGTTTTTAAGTTATTTGGGTTTTATGTGTGTTGTTTAAAACGCCTTGATCGTCAGGACGAAAGTTAACCCATAGCTTTGAAAGTAAAGAAGAATATAAAGCCTGTATATTATAAACGAGAGCTTTTGTTGGGATTTTTCATTATGTGGCAGATTGCAGTTATATTTTTTGCAGCGTGTGGTGTGGTCAGGTGTGCGATTGGACCTAGGACAGAGCTCTTCACTTTTTGCAGTTAAAAAAATCACTTAATTTTCAAAGAATTGTATTAATATTATAGTTTTATTTATTTGTGATGTTTTTTCGTTCTTGTTTTGTAAATGTTCAATGACAATTGTTTAAAAAATGTTGAATCAAAACATCACGTTTTTTTTTTTTTTTTTTAGTCGACTAATCGTTGCGCAGGACAAGACTTTGGTCGACGAAGGATTTCTTTGGTTGACTACAGCCCTAGCTGTTACACTACGAGAACTCACTCGAGGCCCACAGAGAAGGAAATGAAGAGTTGAATAAAGTCGTTATTTTTGTTTTTTCAGGGTGGCTACTGGTATAAACTATTTAAATTTAAGACTTTTTAATACCACTTCTAAATTAAATTTAAGACCAAACTCACGATGAAAATATAAATTAAAACTGAAAATATACAGTAATATTTCCAAGTAATCACACTGTCTGTTCAAAAATATGGTGAAATGACAATAACCAATTGTCAATTGCGTACGTGCGATCGCCTGTGGAGTGAAAAGAAATATAGAAGGCATTTCCATAAATGTCTTAAAAATAATAAAGTATATTAAAAAAGGCTTAGATTTAATTTACTAATAAAGGCATAGAACCAGTTTACTTATAGTGTACTGATAATAGTTTCATATAATTAGTTTGTTAATTAAAAACTAGTAATTTCCGTATAAAATAATACTACAAACATATATAAATAAACAGATTAGTGCCCTGTTTTGAGGACAAGAAATGAAAACTAGGGCTGGGTAATAAATATCGATTTCTCGATATTAGTCGATTCTCATTTTTACGAACTGATATCGATTTTTAAATCTCAAGGATCGATTAGTCATCCTGTTTCATTTGAATGAATGGGAAATTGTATTGCGGCTGCGCGCATCCAAAAAAAAAAAATCGCAATAATCTTTGTCCTTTGTTACTATTGATATGAAACAAAGTCTCAATTTTCAAATTACTTCCATTTTCTTTAGAAATTCAAAAACATGAATAGTGTTTTGTCGCTGTGGCGTGAGATCGCTCTGGAGAAGCAGCAGCGCTGATCTCTCTTCCGGCTTAATAATACCAGTCACAGCGCCAAATAAACATGAATGAGCATCTGAAAGTGTGTTAAAGATACAGTACAACTTATCCAAATCCGGATCATGTCACATTGATTCACTCAATCAGCGTTTCAACCGTGGAAAGACGTCAGTTAAACAGCTTGTAATCACTGTATCGTCATATTTAACTCAGAAAACCCACATAAACTCGTTAATCAGCGAGAAAAAATAACTCTAGAGAGGAGCATTTTGTTAAATATATACACCATATTACATATGCATTATAATCTTAATGTTCTTCAATATTTAATGCATATTTGAATAAATCTGGCAAGTTTTTATGACAGCCACCATTTAAATGTTTATATTTCATATAATCTTCTTATCATAAAAATAAATAAAAGTGTAATTTAAGTGTTTGTATAGCTACAAAACAGTTCATTATTACCTTCATATTAGGCTAATGAAGCCTAGACTCCCATAGTTTACAGCATTAGTTCAGAGATTTGATTCCCTTGATAAAATTTGCCATTTATTGTAACTGATATCCAAAATAATCAATATTGAATCGAAATCGAATCGCAAGCATTGATTTAAGACTTTTTAATGACCCGTGGCCACCCTGTTTTTGCGCACAGAAAGTATTCTCGTCGCTTGATAATCTTAAGATTGAGCCGCTGACTATTTTAACGATGTCTTTAATAACTTTTCTGGGCCGGCAAGTTTCAATCCCTTAGAAGCCTATGGAGGAGTGATCCAGCTCTCAGATTTAATCACAAATATCTTCATTTGTGTTCTGAAGATGAACGACAGTCTTACGGGGTTGAACAACATTGAGGGAGAGTCATTACTGTTTGGGTGCACTGTCCCTTTAAGTAAGGTAACGGAGTATTTGTAAACCTCCGTGTTTATTAATGCTCCTCATTATCATACCTCGTTATTGTGAAGTGTGAGACACAGTTTACACTCGTAAGAGCCCAGGTGGTTCTTCATGAAGTACGGGTCTTTGTTGATGTCGATGGTCTCGAGCGCGAGCTGTCGAAGTCGCTCACGCCGGTCGCGGTTGCTCTCGGACGACGAGGCGACGCCGCCGCTGCCCGTCTTCCCTCCGGCTCTGTGCTGGAAATCCATGATGGCAGATCCTCACACAGCTGTGCAACAACAACAACAAATGCATTAATAACATTACAAATATTATTCCTCCACTTTGAGCTGATGATGTTTTGCTAAAGTGTGTTTTCTGTAATCGCTAATGCTCTTTTTACACACACACTAAACTGGTACTATCTAATTGTGTAGTTAAATTTAACAGATATTCAACATAATTCATACGTGATAGCCGAACAGAAGGACGGATAAAACCAATCAAATATCCACTGATTCTGCTTATATTAAATAAGCATTTTCTAAACTATAGCGAATAAAATGTGATAATGTGAGAAAATGTCGATGTCCGAGTACATTTTTCTTTGACTGTATACAGTAGCAAAAAACAGCACGCTAGCATTCAATAAAGGCGAAAAGTCCCCGGATGACATACTAGTTTGTGTATTTAATATGATGTTAATCCATTCAAGCACAAGAAGACTTGAGCAGAAAAACACACAGAAAAATGTCAAAATATCCTTGTAAACACAGTCGGTTATGTCATAAGTGAACGTAAACAGTTGAGAAATGAAACGCATGTGTAACACTATAAATAATAATAATAATAATAAAGTCAATATAACAAAACAGAGAAAATTCAACTTGTTTGTGATGTATGTTTTAAAGTGCAGTGTTATTCTACATTTGATTAGTTTCTGTACCTGAAAATCTTAAAACACTATTTCATTTATATTTTTCAGTTGTGCGATTGATCATTTTTATTTAATTTCACAGTGTTTACTTGATTTTTGTTCATGATATTCAGCAACAATTAAATGTTTTGAATAAATGTGAATTATATCTATTTTTTTACACTATCGAAAGGTTTCCTGTTATTACACTAACCATAATTACTATATTATATATAGCGTACTTATTAAACAAAGTACATTAATAAACGACTAATTCATACGCGATAATTTACTGAAATGGGGATTGTTTGTAACCCCATTTCAGTAAATTATCGCGATGTAGCCAATAATAAAATCTTTATGATTATTTTCGACTTACATGTAATAGTCTGAAGGTTACAGGTTTTTAACTTACATTGCAAAGGTCTGAGAGATTGTATTCTGAGAGATTGTATTTAAAGCAAGAAACCTTGACTAACACATCAGAATGGGATACAACTAATAAAACGCAACAGAATGATCCCATTTACGGTTGAGTGTATCGTTTAACTTATCAATTAAATTAGAATATAACGAAGCATACATGAATATAATGATGTATTAGACAATAGTAAGATAAGCGTGTATAAGAGCTGGAACGAAATGTACTGACTTCAAAGCTGCACTTTCAATGAACAATAACAAACGCGTAAAGCTTATTAAAAGAACGAGTTTAGTTTTGTGTTTTTACGCGAAAATAAGCATCATTTTGTTTCAAAAAACACATTTTTAAAATGTTTACCCAACGTCCAGATCACGCTTGCCGCCGTCGCTGTTGTAATGCGCATGCGCGACGACTGATCCACTTCCTGTTCCTGTTATTTTGACACGCACAACTTTATTGATAAAGGCACAATACAAGTGACTGTTTTTCTTTAGAAAAGGACCGTGATTGCGCTAAGTCTAGAAGAAGAAAATGTGTACTTAAAACAGCAAAATCAAATATTTTAATTAACATGAAATTGGGTTTGTGATTACTATCATTGTTATTTTAAATACATTTCGAAACGTGCCCTTTATTTGTGTACAGACGTTTTAAGTGGTAAAGCAGCGCCCTCTGTCGGCTACATGTGTTCAGCTCCTCCAGCGAATGGTTGTGTGCATAGAAATATACACATAGAACTCCTATTCGTGCTGTTGGGTCGTCCGCCATATTGGAACGATCAAAACATCGGCCAGTGAACACTCGAGCAAGTTGACTGTGTCTGCAACCAGTTAGACAAGAAGCATCGATTCATTTTTAAATAGACTTCAGTAGAAGATTTTGCTAAACTAACACAATACAAGATAAAAGGGTCAACTAACATGACATTAAAAAGTGAACATTGAATAAAAACCTGTTAAGTCAATGCATATAAAACACAAGTCAAACATGAACGGTTATCCCATTTTTTCAGGAATTTAAATCTCGATGGTTTCACAACAATACGCTACGCAAAGTTGTGGTATGATTGACTTTTTTTAATTGAACAAAGATCGCAGGGAATGCATGCATCACAAAAACAAAACAAAAAAAGACAGGATAAGAAACTCAAGGTAAATCAGTACATTTTCATTCAAGATACAGTAAACAGAGATCTACTAAAAAATTCGTAGTCATAGCTATAGTCTAAAAAAGAATTAATAAAACATTTAAAACTGAAAAAAAAAAAAACCTAATATCATTAATTCTACCTCTGAGGGACCATTCCAAGATGGCGGGCGCGCCGACGTCTCTGTAGAAGTTGAGTTTAGATTCTATGTAGGTATATCTATGGCTATGTGTGTATGTTTAGTATCAGACAGAAGACATTATCGCTTGTTTCAGTTCATTCGCAGAGTCAGAAGAGCTACAGAAGTATGACTGACAGTCCGGATGAGAATTATCAGATCTGTTTAAAGTCCTTAAAAGCGCTTTTATGAGACGAAACTGCTGTCAAAGAGCTAAAAATGCGATTCAATGAGAAGGAGCTGGTGTTCCTGAGCCGCCAGCCGTCAGAGAGAGCGGCCGAGCTGGGCATGAGAGGCCCGAAGAAAGGAGACGGTAAGAGCCATGATCTGCTATCATAAAGATGTATAAGTATAACCATCTTTTTCTACGCCAGAAGCAGAAGACGCGAGAAAACTAGACAGAACTAGAAGACTGTCCCCTTTACGATCAATGTCGTGTTTCGAAATAGCATTGTGGCGCGTACTACTCGTATTTCTTTCTTGTAAAGATATGGCAGCAGTAATTAAAGTAGTATAGTATTCATAGTACAGCTTATATTGCTTGTAGTTACTTGTGCGTACGCCAGCTGCGAGTCACATGACCTTAGTAGGTGCACTCTGATAGGTGGTAGTTGCTGCTCATTTGCATAAAATTGATCCGTGTTCAACTTTTCGCCGTTCAATTGTTATGTAATCTCTATTGTAATCTGATGAACGCGAGAAAAATATTTACATCTAATTAGAAAACACCCGACTTTACAGAGTCAACAAAACTTATCGTCCGCTTGTGAGGGCGCTAATATAGTTAACGTTATATTTAGTTATTGTTCTTAATCGGACAGCGATTTAATCCCAGATAGCAAACTGACATTGAATCAACGTGGAAATATGACATCGAAACAACGTTGATCCGACATTGTTTTGCTCATCGAATTAACGTTGAACCAACGTCAGGCGCGTCATTCTTTCAAAACTAACGGAAAATCAACTTGAAATCAACGCGTTGTTTCAATGTTATGAAAGCAAACCCATTTTCGTTTTTCATTTAGCTTTGAAGAATGCCGCGTCTGACGTTGGTTCAACGTTAATTCGATGAGCAAAATCAACGTTGTTTCAATGTCATGAGAGACGTCGTTTCCACGTTGATTCAATGTCAGTTTGCTGTCTGGGATGTTAGTTGGTGTTCCAATTGGAGCATTTGGCGAGTCACATGACCTCCAAACTTCTATTGATTGTTGCCGAATTAACTAACTTTTAGTTTCAATTCATCACTTTAAAATTGGCAACATTGAAAATGAAATTTATAACGAAGCTCTCATGATGCCAGCAGGTTACGCAACAACTAGAACTTTCTCGTAATTATCCACAAAGATGTCAGAATGCAACAAAACTACAATGCTTAGAATATTTTAACCTGTTGCGATACGACAAAACTAGACCGCCTTGTAGCTTAATGATTAACGATTGCGTTTCTACGCGATACAATAAAAAAATCTGACAGGAATTTAATAGCTTTTGGTCATTAGAGAGTCAAAAAAAAGCGGATCATGTGACATCCACTACGTGTGCTCCCATTGGTTGTTGCCAATTTGATTACATAAAAATATAAAAACCATGCACTATATTGACTAATCATGATCTAAAGAATCAATTTAATGTAAGATTACGACTGTGCCTCACTTGACCTAATTCTCTGTTTCACGCCACAGTTGTGAAGAGGCGTCTGGTGAAACTGATCGTTAATTTCCTGTTTTACTTCCGGACGGACGAGGACGAGGTGAGTGCGGTTTGAGCGTCTGATCTGAATCTCAACGCCGTCACGGTCACGTTCATTCGAGTGTGCTTGTGTTTCAGCCAATCGGCGCTCTGCTGCTGGAACAGTGTCGCGTCGAGAGAGAAGACGATCATGCTTTCTCTATTGGTAAGAAGAGTCGAAGATTCACACATTGTGCTTTTAATCTAAAAGGGCTGATGCTCGTCCTTTTTCGACTCTTTAAAGAAAACTTTCTTGTTTTCATGTTTTCCTGCTTGAATGTTGATTATTCTCCTCATATTCTCCAGTGTTGCGGCTCCTCTCTTCCCAGTCTGTCAGTAACGCTCTGTTTACTTCCTGTCTCTATGAAGCCCCTCCTCCTGAAAGCACACTGTGCTCTGATTGGTCGGCTGGAGCGGTGTGTTGTGATTGGTCGAGCGCTTCGAGTGCGTTTGGGAAATTTCCCGCCCCTTTCCATAACCGCCAGTTTAACACACTACTAACTAACTCAACCAGGCCCCGCCCCTTTATTATGCGCATTAATTATTATAATGAGGAATATTGAGACGTGTTCGTTCCGGGAGAAACTCGAGATACAATGGAGGCGTTTCAGGACAGGAGCTTCTCATGATCAAACTTGGACCAACAAAGATGAACATGGACAAAATAAAATAAAAACATAAACGTGACCTCACTCACTTGTTTTCCAGTGTTCCTGGACGAGGCCGAGAGGAAGTATCTGTTTGAATGCGATTCTCAGGAACAGTGTGTTGAATGGATCGACGCCATCGTTAAAGCCAGGTGTGTGACGCTGACATTACCCATCATCCTCTGCGTTTCATGTTTTATAACCGTAATCTGCTTCTCTCTCTCAGTTATGAATTCATGCGCAAGAACCTGATCCACTACCGCACAGAAATCCACCGATTGACTGGAAAGGTGAGGGAATCGATATTAATTAATGCAACAAAAACCTCCTTGATTGGTTATAATCATAATCATATACCACATATTAGAGCTGCACGATTTACGTGTTTAAAACAGTGATCGTGATTCTGAACACACAACTAGACAAAATAACATGTTATTTACTTGAGCATCTGACAAAATGTTCAGTCTATTGAACAAAATATTTGAATACATTTTTTAAAAATCATTTGAATGAATAACCAGATGAATCTGCGTTTTTGAACGAATCTTTTGAATTAATGATTCAATGACTCACTCATAAATCGTTTGCTTGTTTAATTACCTGATGAATCAGCGTTTTTGAACGAATCTTTTCAATGAATGATTCAATGACTCACTCATAAATGTTTCACTTGTTTAATTACCGGATGAATCAGCGTTTTTGAACTAATCTTTTCAATGAATGATTCAATGTCTCACTCATAAATCTTTCACTTGTTTAATTACCGGATGAATCAGCGTTTTTGAACAAATCTCTTGAGTGAATGATTCAATGACTCACTCATAAATCCTTCACTTATTTCATAACTAGACGAATCAGCGTTTTTGAATGAATCTTTTTAATGAGTGATTCAATTACTCACTCATAAATGTTTCACTTGTTTAATTACCGGATGAATCAGCGTTTTTGAACGAATCTCTTGAGTGAATGATTCAATGACTCACTCATAAATCCTTCACTTGTTTCATTACCAGTTGAATCAGTGTTTTTAAACAATTCTTTTGAATTAATGATTCAATGACTCACTCATAAATCCTTCACTTTTTTAATTACCGGATGAATCAGCGTTTTTGAACGAATCTCTCGAGTAAATGAATCAATGACTCACTCATAAATCCTTCTTGTCTAATTACCGAATGAATCAGCGTTTTTTTTTTTTTAACAAATCTCATGAATTAAAGATTCAATGACAAACATATTTAACACTTGTCACCACCTACTGGTGTAACGATGAAATCGATACGATCTTTATTTAAAGCATCAAGCTACTTTCAAACTGTGATTTACTTTATTTTGATCACTACTGTAGACATCAGTGTTTATATCCTAGCTATACTTATTTATTCCAGTACGTCTGTGATAATGAAGAAATAATAATACAGAAGCTTTTTCTTGGGTGTTTTAACGGAGATCTCCATCTTTTAACGATTAATCATGCAGCTCTACCACATAATATTGAGGATGCTTTGTTGTAACGTGTGCTTTCCCGCAGGATCCGCTAGAGCAGTATGGGATATCGGATGAAACGCGCTTCCAGGTCAACAGTGCTCTTCCTCTGCCTTCGCCTTCCACATGAACACACGAGTTTCACATGCAATCATCGGGTCTCTATGGAAGCTTGTTTCCGCCACAGAGTGAAAAATAAAAAAAAAGCTAATTGCGAGATATAAAGTCAGAATTGATTGATATAGTCACAATTGATTGATATAAAGTCACAATTGCATGTTATAAAGTCAGAATTGCGAGATTTAAACTATTCTGTTAGTCTTTTTTTCCTTAGAATTGGCCTGATAACTCGCAATTGCGAGTTTATATCTCACAATTCTGAGAAAGGATGTCATAATTTCGAGATATAAACTTGCAATTATGTTATAATGTCAGAGTTGCGAGATGTAAACTTGCAATTGTAAGGAAAAAAGTCTCAATTGTGCAATTTTTTTCTCGCAGTCAGTTTTTTTTTCTCGCATTCTATTTCTCACAATTGCGACTTTATTTCTTAGAATTGCGACATTATATCTCGCAATTGCAACTTTATTTCTTGCAATTGCAACTTTATTTCTTAGAATTTTGACTTTCTTAGAATTGCGACATTATATCTCGCAATTGCAACTTTATTTCTTGCAAATTGCAACTTTATTTCTTAGAATTTTGACTTTCTTAGAATTGCGACATTATATCTCGCAATTGCGACTTAATTTCTCACAATTGCAACTTTATTTCTTAGAATTTTGACTTTCTTAGAATTGCGACATTATATCTCGCAATTGCAACTTTATTTCTTGCAATTGCAACTTTATTTCTTAGAATTTTGACTTTCTTAGAATTGCGACATTATATCTCGCAATTGCAACTTTATTTCTTGCAATTGCAACTTTATTCTTAGAATTTTGACTTTCTTAGAATTGCGACATTATATCTCGCAATTGCAACTTTATTTCTTGCAAATTGCAACTTTATTTCTTAGAATTTTGACTTTCTTAGAATTGCGACATTATATCTCGCAATTGCAACTTTATTTCTTGCAAATTGCAACTTTATTTCTTAGAATTTTGACTTTCTTAGAATTGCGACATTATATCTCGCAATTGCAACTTTATTTCTTGCAATTGCAACTTTATTTCTTAGAATTTTGACTTTCTTAGAATTGCGACATTATATCTCGCAATTGCAACTTTATTTCTTGCAATTGCAACTTTATTTCTTAGAATTTTGACTTTCTTAGAATTGCGACATTATATCTCGCAATTGCAACTTTATTTCTTGCAATTGCAACTTTATTTCTTAGAATTTTGACTTTCTTAGAATTGCGACATTACATCTCGCAATTGCAACTTTATTTCTTGCAAATTGCAACTTTATTTCTTAGAATTTTGACTTTCTTAGAATTGCGACATTATATCTCGCAATTGCGACTTAATTTCTCACAATTGCGGTTTTATTTCTTACAATTCTGACTTCATATCTCGCAATTGCAACTTTATTTCTTAGAATTGCGACATTATATCTCGCAATTGCAACTATTTCTCGCAATTGCAACTATTTCTTAGAATTGTGACTATTTCGTAGAATTGCGACATTATATCTCGCAATTGCGACTTAATTTCTCACAATTGCGACTTTATTTCGTACAATTCTGACTTCTTATCTCGCAATTGCAACTTTATTTCTTAGAATTGCGACATTATATCTCGCAATTGCAACTATTTCTCGCAATTGCAACTATTTCTTAGAATTGTGACTATTTCGTAGAATTGCGACATTATATCTCGCAATTGCGACTTAATTTCTCACAATTGCGACTTTATATCTTACAATTGCGACTTTATTTCTCACAATTCTGACTTCATATCTTGCAATTGCGACTTTATTTCTCACAATTCTCACAATTGCGAGAAAAAAAAAAAGTCGCAATTATTATTATTATTATTTTAATCAGTGGCGGAAACAAGCTTCCACGGGTTTCTCTGCTGTTTCCCGTTTATGCTTGTTTAATTGTTTGTTTTTCCTCTTTTACAGTCTGCCAGTATCAGTCACTGTCCATTCTGACCTCTATAATCGTTATATTACTGTAATGAATGTCTGCTGAGTTTGAGCCAGTTGCAATAAAAGTTTCTTCCTAATATCACGGTCTATGTTAACTGGGATTTCTGCACCTTTATTGCCTTTAATAAGTGTGTTTGTAGTTTTTGTTGTAGTCATGCTTGCGTTATGTAGCTTCACCTAAAGTGCACATAAAATATATATTTTTGTTCTCTCCCAAAAGTACTGAAGCCTTTCACAAAAAAGCAAGCCGAATGTGTATAGCGGTCTGAATTTACCACAAAACCATGAGAAAAATGTTAATTAAATGAAAAATTAAATAATTTTTATGACCATAACTGCATTTACCCAGGAAATACTTCCCATAAATCTAATTTTCTTTACAATAATGCAGTCTGTCAGATCCTGTCAGACACCATCAACATAAACTACTTTACAAATGCACAACACAATTTAATAATTTAATAAATGCAATTTTTTTTTCAATGCAAAAGCCTAAATGTAGGCTTTATTACTTGATGCATGGAACTCCTTATTTTTTTCTTCTGATTTTGTGGTGACATTTGACTTCACATGTGTTTAAACATCATTGCATTCAATGTGTGTGACGGTAGCAGATTTAATTAATCTTGATTTAATCATTATATTGTCACAAAGAAATATGAGGAGTTGCTTTCCTTTCATTTTAACCCTTCGTGCCTGTAACTTTCCATTAAGTGGTGAAACTAGTATACAAACTTTAAAAGAGCATGAATGTGAGATTTATGAATGTTTTAAGCTTTTGATTTTTCTTTCATGCAAATGCAATGATTCCTTCTATAATTTAGATTTCATTATTTATAAATGTCCATAATTTCAATCTTATTTTTTGTTAATAAATCCCTTTTAAAAGATACCAGTGCTTTTGTTTTTATACTGATTTTAACTACTAACAGTGAAAAAAAAAGTCCAATTCAAGGAAATCTTGATATAAATATCTGCCAATGTGGTCAGAAAAACAAATCCTGTTTTTCCTTTGAATTAAGACTTTTTCTGACTGATGTTCTTGTTTTAAGCACAAACTCACTTCATTTTGATAATATTTTCACTAAACAAGACTTAATATCTTCAGTCATTTTGCTTCTAGTCAAGTAAATGTATCTTGATTTAATAATGTTTAGATGTTAAATACTATAAATGAGTCATTTTATGAATGCAACATGTGACTCATTATCAAGATCTAATGAGAAGGACTAAGAAAAGCTCACAAGAGGTGAAGAAACAACTATTTTCAGAAAATTAAGAGACCTCAAATATGACTGATATCTCATGTATCAATGCATGTCTTATCTTTGCTTATTTTAGGATATTTAAATGAAATATGCAAGTGCTCTGATGAGCCCACATGAGGACTCAAGGAAAGGGCTTCACTTTCATGTTTAAAACCAAATGTTGCATTAAAATGATTTGTGTAATTGAATCAAACTGGATGGATATTTTTAGAGCAACACAAACACAAAATTAAACAGATCAAATGACAACACTTACTGAAGTTTGTGCTTCTGATTCCCCCATGAATGATGTCACTTCCTGGAGGATGATGTCATTAAGGAAGTGCCTTTTGCTAGGTTTTTTAAAATGTATTATTATCGCCAGTCATATTGTAATAAATAAACATAATAATAATCACTTGCATATCAAAATATGCACACTTTTGGATTATTGTAGAAAATAAGCTCAGTGACCGACAAACGTTTATGATACTAACGTGTTTTGTTTATAGTGATAATCTTCACGTGTGAACACAACTTTAAGGAGCTTGTTCACCACAGACCTTATTTCGGGCATTTTAAGTCCCCTTGTGCTGAAAATCCAGCATTTAATGTTGTTTATGTGTGTATGTGGTGTGTTTAATATACGTTTTAAGACAAAATAAGTGGATGGATGGATCTCTGAGCTGCCTGAGTGAGTGAGTGGAGGCGGAGCTCATTTGCATATTCATAGAACCGTGAATACTAAATGAGACGAGGGTGTCGAGTTACATTCAAGATATTTCTAAGGCATGAAGGGGAAAAAAACGTTTAAATATGTAATTAAAAATAAAATTATTGACTACAGGGGGACTTTAACCAAAAACCCGTTCACTTCAGGACCAGATATGATAAAATGCTAACTCGTTTCTGGGTTTTGTACAATAATACATAATCCCTGGCAGTTGCTCATTTTTAGGTGTACTGTCCCTTTAAGCGCGGCAGAGACTCGAGTCACTGTTGTCATGTGTATTAACTCACACAAACGACACACACACACCCTGTTGAATTATTGACACACATACTCAGTCTCATCTACTTCTAAGTGTGAGCTGGAATCAGTCAAATGTCTCTTCACATGTTTTAAACGGTTGCGACTTTCTCATATCTGCTCGATTAAACTGTGTGAAGAGCAAAAAGGTCACATCTAAGCGAAAATCACCCAGATTAAAAATAATCAAATGGCCTTAGGTTTCTCAAAGTTGTAAAACAAAGAAACATTGTGATAGAAAAGGACATTATTTTTAATTTTCTGCACTACTTCTTTGTGACCAATCAAATGAGTGTCCTTGATCATGTGACTCGTTCATTAAAGCAAAAGAAAGACCCACGGAATACGGAGACATTCGCAAATTCATTTTGTAACGTTTTACTCTAATTAGGAAGATGATAATATCATGTGTAATGAACCATTAGTAAAAAAGAAAAAAAAAAGAAAGAAGGACTACCTCTTGAATATTCCTGCGGAAACTATGCTTCAGGTCTAAAATATAGCTCTACTTATAAAAGGTGTAATGATGTATTTGACTCATTATTTAAATTGTGTTAATTTCGAACAAAAAAATGTTCGTGTACCTCTAAACATGCAGCATTTTACATGTAATTTTTTTTAAAAGTCTCCAATCTGTGGATGATTTTATTAAGCTGATCTATATACAGTGATGTGAATAAGTTTGGACCCCCATGCTAAAGTTGCCTAAAAAGAGGAATAAAAAATCTTCTTTTGGATATTGATCTTAATGCCTTAATTAGAAAAATAAGGAAAACTCCAACCTTTAAGGACACCAATTTTCTTTGTGAATGAATAATGTATCATAAATAAATAAATGTTTTTCCTTAAAATACAGGGTGCATAAGTCAGGGTTAAATTCCCATAGAGTCAGGCAGATTTTTATTTTTAAAAGCCAGTTATTTCATGGATCCAGGATAATATGCATCCTGATAAAGTTCCCTTGGCCTTAAAGGTTGGAGTTTTCCTCACTTTTCTATTTAAGGCATTAAGTTCAATATCCAAAAGATGATTTTTTATTCCTCTTTTTAGGCAACTTTAGCATGGGTGTCCAAACTTATTCACATCACTGTATATATGATAACATAGTGTTAAACTAATACTCTAGTATTATACTCCATCCATCACAAATAAAACAACAATGAACATTATTATTCTGTGCAAATTTACAGTCACTTTCTTTATTCATGTTTCTGGTGTTATTGTGTGAACAATTCGTCAGTGCATGCTTTAATAAACGTCCATTCATCCTTACGTTTGCTCTAAGTGAAAATGTAATGTTTCACATGCAAATACCACAAATGCAGAAATAAAATGGGTTTGATCTACTGATCTGGGTACTGAAACTGCAACACTTCCTGAATCAAGGTTACCCGCACTAAAATTAGACTTAAGCCATCAATAGGGTGCAATCATGAGTTCACTTTGATGTCAATCTGCAAACTGTTCATGCAACTGTATTTCTTTGTTAAATAAACACCAAAACAACAAGCAACATGGTGCTCGATCAACATGCTGATATTCTTCACCTGCCGGTGCAACTGATGTGTAAAGTCTTCTACTGGATTATATCCACAAGTTTCCTACGCCCCATGAGGCCTTGCATCAAAAGTGGGCGCGACTTCCGGTTCGAAGTAAACAAAGCGCGATTTGACATGCTTGACACTCGTTCATTCAACAGTTGACAGTCATTCAAGTTATAGCGATCCAAACTAGCTAACGATGTGGGAACACAACCTCAACGAAATTCAAAAGGGTGAAATAACAGTACCTTTACCCTCCGCAGTAGTTGATTGGGAGTATTATAATAACATTATTAATAATCAATACTCATCAAGGCATGGTGACAGACAGCTGACAAACAATTAAAATAAAAAATACACACTTAGTCATTGATGTGCTTTGGAGTTTATTCAAAATTATAATGAACGTGCAACTTGAATACATTAACTGGCACATTTGATATTCTGTCAACACAGGCTTTGATCCTGAGTTTAGCTGTAACATCAGTAGCGAACAGCCAATCATTATATTTTTTGATCTAGCAACCCAGATAGCAAACTGACATTGAATCAACGTGGAAATATGACATCGAAACAACGTTGATCTGACATTGTTTTGCTCATCGAATTAACGTTGAACCAACGTCAGACGCGTCATTCTTTCAAAACTAACGGAAAATCAACTTGAAATCAACGCGTTGTTTCAACGTTATGAAAGCAAACCAATTTTCGATTTTCATTTAGCTTTGAAGAATGCCGCGTCTGACGTTGGTTAAACGTTAATTCGATGAGCAAAATCAACGTTGTTTCGATGTCATGAGAGACGTCGTTTCCACGTTGATTCAATGTCAGTTTGCTGTCTGGGGAGCATCTGGTTTGTCGATGCAAAATCGTTTATTGTGCTTTTAGTTTTTTTCTTCTTCCAATTATTCTTCTGTGTAAAAAAAATGACGAAAACATGTCACTTGTTCAATTAATAAATCGCTAAAGATGGAATTAGCCTCTCTTTCTGTCATTATGTGAGTGCGTTTTTTGTTTTGTTTATTTTTCTACGATTTTCGAACGATAATCGACTTTTGCTCCTCGATTTTCGAATGCCATTTTTGGCAGAAATTCACATCCCTAATATTAAGAATTTAAACAAATGTACACAGGAAGATTCGCCGTCTTTTGGGAGGTGATGGAAACTACAGTCGTTGGCAGGATCACTCTGATTTCGTTTTCGGCTTATGTTCAAAACAATCACGTTTAAGCCACTGAATTAGTTTAGTCCGGTTATACATACAACCGCGAACAGCACATGTTGTCCCTGAGCTCCGTAACGACATCTCTCATAAAGATTTGCGTCTTTAAATAGTAAAATAATTCTCCGAAACACAGCTAGCCTCTTCGCTAACTGACACACAAAATACCATTGGAATGCTACTTCCGCCGCCTCGCCGGAAGTTTCACCCACTTTATTTTTTACAGGAGCGCCCCTCGGAAACTTGTGGATATGTATAAGGAATTTTATTTGATGATGAAAAGTGTCTGTATATAGTCGTAAAAATGTGTCCGATGTTTGTTCAACATCAGTCATTTTGCTTCTCCAGTAAATGCATCCCAGATCCGGTCCACATCTGGTACGCATTGAATCCTCACATACAGGATGTGGACCGGATCCTGGCCGACACTCTGTTGGCATCTAGGTCTTGATTTTTTAGAATGTTTGGATATTTGTTCTTGTTTTAAGCACAAACTCACTTCATTTCAGAAATTCAGTCATTATGCATCTCCAGTAAATGTGTCTTGATTTAGATCTACTTTTTTCCCCCCTCAGGTCACCATTCGCACTCGAGTGATGAACAGCGCGGCGGCGGCGTCTTCGAACTCCTGCGCGTCCATGACGGGATTATCCTGCTGGTTCCCGGGATGAGCCTCCGCCATGGCCTTCGCCACTTTACCAGGCGAGATCTTGGCACTGGCCTCCAAGTACCGGCCCACGTCGTCCCCATCCGCCGCCTCCAGCGCCTCCCGGAGCGTCTCCAGCACCGCCTGACCCAGCGCTCTCTCCGCCGGCCGGTCCGAAGCGCTCGCCACCGACCCGTACAGGCACTGGGAGGCACGGATGTAGTCGGAGAACACGGAGCAGGTCAGGACGCCCTGCCGGAAGAGCTCGAAGGGCACGGACTCGTGGTCGTGGCACTGGACGCGGCGCAGGAGCGGAGCCGCGGTCGAGCCGGAGAGTCCGCCTTCGCTGCACAGGCACCGGAGCATCTCGGTGTAGATACGCCCGCGGACCCCGACGACACCGGCACCCCGATCACGGGTCAGGAGATCGAACGCCGTGCGCGCGTTACTGTTGAACGCTGATCTGCAGGGAAGACAGAATCGAGAGCTCAAACTGAGGGTACGTTTACATGGCAACGATATCCGCGGACACCATTAGGGGGTTTCGCACCGGATCTCCACCAGGGAACTGGATCTGTTTCCCAGAGAACTAATGGTTCCCCTAGGAACGTTTTTCTGGTTGCGTTCGCAGCGCCACTAGGCACTCTGAAGGGACGTGAGCTGCGCTTGCTGTGGGGACTTTTATTTTGACGGCGAGCAGAACGCCAGAGCTCGCATTCTCCGTGCTCATTAGTTTACGATCTAATACGGTATTATATAGAACTGTTATACATAGAAAGTAGACAGTAATGAAGAGTTATTAGCGTATACCGTGTGGTTGATGTCCAGTGTTGCTGAGCAGAAATACATAATCATGTTTCTCTTGGTCTTCTCAAAGTTGTGTTGGATTTTCTCCTCAGTGTAAAGATTAAGACGCCCATCTATCACGGTTTTACATGTTCGTAGAGTTTAGAGTAAATATAGCCGACTATAATCTGTGTTTACACAGCCTTTTTAAAAATGGCGGGTGCTTGTGTTTCCTCATAGACATATACACTAGACCTCACCTTGGCTACGGCAGTTCAATGGAACGAATGCGTCAATAGAGCCGCCATCTTGAAACAGGGGAGCCCCTCCACTTTAATGCATCAGACACAGGTCTAACAGAAATAAAATCACCATAAATCATCATGAATGCGATTTTTCTTGTTTTTTTTGGTTTGTTCCAACGGTCAGACATGTATTTATCATTGATTCCAGAAAGAAAGTTTTTATTTATTTTTTTAAAAACATTCTTCCTAGTTCAGATTTCATCCATGAACATCATACGCTGCACAAATGTCCACCACCATCAATGAATTCGAAGTAAAGGCAGAGATAGCAGCGTTACCTAGCCACTTCCTATGACAATACCCCTGTTCCAAGATGGCGGCGGTTTTGACGCATGCTTAGAACCCCAAGGTGAGGTCTAGTGTATATGTCTATGGTGTTTCCTGTGCATTCGGCCAGTCAGCGAACACTATCGTCACGGACACGGATAGTTCCTATAGCGCTGGTTTAGTACGAGTAAAATAGTTCCTCCAAAAGGAGTTCCTAGAACTAAAATAATTCTTAGTTCCTGCAGTGCGAACAGACCAAAATCCGGGAACTTCCACCAATCATTCTAGGAACTATAAAAAAATGTTCTTCCGGGGCAAAAGCCCCTCTTGTCAAAATGATCCCCATTCACACAGATCTGCTAAAACGACTAAAAACGCTGTATTCTGCTGCCAGGCCAGTAGATGGCAATTAAACACTATAGACTGAACACGTGATAGGCATGACGTTTTCAGGCGCCCAAAACCATAGATATCTATATAAAGGCTAGATGTCTCGTCCACGCTGCTGGCCAATGGAGGTCGACGTCTGCACCTGGCGGCCATCTTGTCACAGGCAGCTCGCTCACTCGTAACATTGTGTTAATGGTACATGCACTATTTAAATAACTATAACTTGCTCAATTTTCTACCGATTTTCAAACGGTTTGGTTTGTTATAAACGTCAGAGATGTAGTTATGACACAGCATACTTATGAATAATATGTGTATAAATACCCAGATAGCAAACTGACATTGAATCAACGTGGAAACGACGTCTCTCATGACATTGAAACAACGTTGATTTTGGTCATCGAATTAACGTTGAACCAACGTCAGACGCGGCATTCTTCAAAGCTAAATGAAAATCGAAAATTGGTTTGCTTTCATAACGTTGAATTCAACGCGTTGATTTCAAGTTGATTTTCCGTTAGTTTTGAAAGAATGAGGCGTCTGACGTTGGTTCAACGTTAATTCGATGAGCAAAACAATGTCAGATCAACGTTGTTTCGATGTCATATTTCCACGTTGATTCAATGTCAGTTTGCTATTTGGGTAAATAATCATCCAGATAATTATAGCCTCGTTAATAACGTTTGTGAGAAACCAAAGCGTTTGTAAATCCGTCAAGATTTCAACGAGATAAGAGTATTTGTGTTCGTGTTGACCACTCAGCTTACTTGTGACAAGATGGCCGCCGGTGATGACGATAGAAACTCCGCCTTAAGACATCTAGCCTTTATATAGATATCTATGCCCAAAACGCTGTTGTCGTGTAAACAAACGGTCAAAATGTACAAAAAGTTTAACGTTTTTAGTTGAAAACAGTGTCGTTTAAACACTAAATCTCAACAAGAGGTGTTTCCCGTACAACGACGTAACTCGCTGCTTCACTGATGCATCGTTGAAGAAAGCAACTTGCTTTCCATTTTAGTGAGGGCATCTGAGAAGTATTTTAATTCGATCCTGAATATTATAAACAAAGCAGGGGGTTTAAAAAAATCGACATTATGTCTAAAGTATTTTACCAATAATATAATGTTAATATTAATCAAATCAAATAACATACAACAATCATTGGTTATGTTACCCCATACATTATATTTTGTAAAGTAAAAGTGAATGTCACTTTTTTGCAAGAAAAGAAACAGCACTGCATTGAATACATTCACATAAAAATGAAAAGAAAGTAAAATAAGAAGAATTCTTAAAAAAAAAAAAGTCACGTCGGTTTTCAACAATAATAAGTAATTACTTGTTTGTGACACCCTTTATTTTTAAGTTTATTTTTATTATTATTATTGTTGTATTTCAAGTTTTACTTTCAAAATGTGAAAATGTGTAAAAGAAAAAAAAAAACCTCTGTGAGTGATGTGCCAGACTCAGGTTCCAGAGCGCGCGACTCACGGCCTGGTGCTCCGGGCCTGCGTCATCATCCTGCGCCGAGAGATGCGCGAAGTGTTCGGCCAGGAACCCGACGGGATCGCGCGGCCTGGACTCCACCAGTGTGAGCAGAGAAGACCCGAGAAGCGCGCTCACGCCAGACTCACACGCGAACGCGCCGTCGCTTTCACAGCTGCCCGACATCGCGACGCCCGCGCGACGCTTCTCCGCCATCCTAAAATATCATCCAGTGCGCTTTAGATCATCGCATTTGGACATAAAAACATAAATGATCTCCAGCAACGGTCTGATTCGCAGCCACACCAACAGTCCAAATACAGTTGCTATGGACACATGATGATGACGCAGTAGATCAGCTGACCACAGAGCGTGTACCTGATCTTCCCGCAGGTGGCGCTTTTGTTTAATAAAAAAATAATTAAGTACTATTAAATCAGAATATTAGCACCCGACTTGCAGCTAAATCAGGGGGTTTCAATCTTTTAGATATATCAGTGTTTTATAAACACTCATAAGGTCAAACTTACTTCGTTTTGATAGGCTACAGTTTTCATTAAAACAAGACAACTATTGTCATTTCGCTTCTACAGTAAATGTATCTTAATGTAATGCTTAGTTATTTGTACAAGACAAACATTTTGAGGATCAAAACAGAATTCATCAGATCAACACTTTATTGATCTACATTGAAGCTTGTTACTATAAAATAAATTGATAAAAGTTGGCTATTTGTGACTTCTTTTTTTTTTCAATCTCATAATAACTCCAAATTTTTTTATTGTGTGGTGGAAATAGAACAGATATAAAACAAATATAAATTTAACAGAAATAAAATAAAAGACTTTTGTTTGTGAAAGGGGGTTTACACTAAACACTAACATTAACTGTAAATCAATGATCAATTGCAAAATATGCACAAGAAAATGTTTTATTTGGAAAAAGTTTAGTTAGAGAAATAAACTTATTCTCAGAAGATAAAGTTTTATATTTAATTTTAATTCAATTTTATGAACTCATAAAAATACTTTATCACTATTGGAAATATTACTGGAAGTTAATTTTATGTGATATCAGGCTCAAATTTGTTTAGATTCATGGCTTTCATTTTCTCAGTTTTAGAGTAAAACATGTTTAAAAAATAGTATTTTGGGGCTTGATAATAAACATAATCACATCAGCAATAATCTGCCAAGTGTCGTCTTTGAAAAGAGACCAAACTTCAGTCTGTGCTCCAAAGCATTCAATATTTAACACATTTTAAGTTGGAAATTACATTTTTAGGTCTGAATAAGTGGATTATAACTTTTGCATACATATTTTTTAGTACGATAAATCCCCTAAAATACAAAATATTAAATTAAAAAAACATTATCAAACTAAAATATATTACATTCATTTAATTGAATAAAAAAAGCGCCACGTGAGCAGAAGCAGAGGATTAACATGCACTTTAATCATTTAAGACATTTCTTTAAAGAACATTTTACTGAAAACACACGAGAGGGAGAGTAAATGGTTGCAGATGATGATGATTATTTAGCTCATTGTTTCTGCCTAAAAATAAATACATGATGCACTTCTGAGATACAGTCACCTCTGATATAGACACAAGCATTTCTGTATAGTTGCTTTATTGTTGTGAAAAGCGTTATACAAATAAATGTGAATTAAATTGAACAGATGCTGATTTTTAGGTCCCTTTCAAAGCACTGATATGTTCCCTTACACGTATGATATGTAAGGCAGAATCCATGGCTATAGCTGTGCATTAAATAATTGTATTTATGTATTCTGTAATGTCTTCGAGCCGTGCGCGATCGATTAATTAAGCTAGATGTTTATTTCTAAACACCAAGGGTCTAAAAACAATTGATTTTACTAAACATAAGAACTACAAATCCACAATAAAAAGACATCAAATAGCAACCCGATCACACTAAATGCGTCTCTATAGCACGCTGTGTGTTTATCGTGCGATTTTCACGCGAAAATTAGTTTTTACGTGGATACGCACGGGTTGGTTTAGTGTTGTGGGGTGTGTGTGAATTACACGCAAACTGCGTGCACGCGGAAACTGCGTATTTACGTAAAAACTCATTTCCGTGTATAAATTGCACGATAATAAACAATGCGTGCTATAGAGACGCAACAATGCCAGGAATCTCGTACTAGCGATCTGATCCAGAAGTGATCGAATTCCCACCTGGTTTACATTAAAGATATGCGATCTACTATTTTTCTAGTGTTTACTAATGGTTTACTAATATTTTGTACAAACCAAAACGTGGCACAAAAGCATGGTGTATACTGTTTACGAGAGCATTTTCATACAAATACTTGCTATAGTTTGGTCTCTAACAGAAACAAAATGTGTTGTATTCGGCTAGTTCAACGATATATGACACAAGTCTATCTGTCATGGAATATAATTTTAACACATTTTCATGTAAAGCGTTTTTTTTTTCACGCTATGAAAATCGAGCACTTTTAATATGCCGTGATATAGTCGCAATTACATGTTATAAAGTCAAAATTGTGTGGTATAAAGTTCGAATTGTGTGTTATAAAGTCAGAATTGCGAGATATAAAGTCGCAATTGCATGTTATAAAGTCACAATTGTGTGATTTAAAGTCAGAATTGCGTAATATAAAGTCGCAATTGCGTGTTATAAAGTCAGTTTTTGTTTCCTTAGAATAGTCGTGACGTCATTACTGACGCGGCGGCCATTTTGGAGGCTTACGCGCATGTAAACATACAGCAAGTCGAACGAGGAGAAGCAGCAGAGTTGGGATAAAGAAAATAAAAAAGATGTTAAAATCCCTAAAAGGTTGTGGAATTTACCGGGATATGTTAAATAGGGAAACCAGTGACCTGTATGTGGACTAAACCGGCACTTTTAACGGTTTGGATCCATATGACATTTCCAACAAAGAGTCGGCAAACAGTGGGAACAGGGGTAACCCGGACAGACGTTAGCGGTCAACCCTCGCGTTTTTTTTTCCCGGGTTTCTCACGTACTTGATCTCTTTCCCCGCTGTCTTCCCGTTTTAGGATATTCCTGTAAAATATCCCGTATTTTAATATTCTCATAACATTAACATTAGCCCTTTAATCGGACCTGTCAGTCTCTGTTGCAAAACTGTTACCCTCTTGCTTTAAGCATCGTTTTGCTTACTAACTTAAGTTTAAGTGCTTAAAACAGCTAACGTTACTAACTACACTTCTGAAACACATAGTTAAAAGTACGTTACATGTACGTTACATGTGTGTGTGAATGGTTGTGAATGGTTGTTAGCACTATAACTGTCACTAAACTGTCACTAAACTAGCAGCTAGTGGAGCGAAGTTTACCTTTGTCCGGTTAGCGTAACGCAGTGTTTCCCAACCCTGTTCCTGGTGGCACACCAACACTGCGTGTATTCTTTGTCTCCCTTATCAAACACACCTGATTCAACCCATCAGCTCATAATCAGGTGGGTTAATGAGCTGATGGGTTGAATCGGGTGTGTTTGATTAGGGAGACAAAGAAAACACGCAGTGTTGGTGTGCCGCCAGGAACAGGGTTGGGAAACACTGGCGTAACGTACTGTGCTGCTCCCACTGTTTGTTGGAAATTTCAAATGCATCCAACCCGTTAAAAGTGCCGTTTTATCCACATATCCCTGGTTTCCCTATTAAACGTATCCCGGTAAATTCCGCATCCTTTTAGGGATTTTAACATCTTTTTTAATTTTCTTTCTCCCAACTCAGCTGCTTCTCCTCATTCGATTTGCTGGTATGTTTACATTTGCGAGGCCTCCAACATGGCCGCCACATCCCAGAATGCAAAGCCCTATTGGACTTTATAACTCGCATTTGCCAGTATCGCAATTTTGAGATGAAAAGTCGCAATTATCTTTTAAAATGTTTTATTCTGTGGCGGAAACAAGCTTACCCAGATAGCAAACTGACATTGAATCAACGTGGAAATATGACATCGAAACAACGTTGATCTGACATTGTTTTGCTCATCGAATTAAAGGCCAATTTATACTTCTGCGTAGGGTGCGCGCAGTAGGTACGGCGTAGCATACGCACAGACGCGTCCCATACCGCGTACCCTTCCGCGTTGCCTGACGCGCACCTCTTCAAAAATGTAACTACACGTCGCGACGACGCGGACCGCAAGATCGGTGATTGGTCGGCTTGGTAGCGTCGTATTTCCTCATACGCATTTCCGCACGTACCTTCTCACGCATTTCCACACGTACCATCTCCTCCGACGTCTTCTCTCATTTCTGCCTTTCAGTTTTAGTAATTTCACTAAAATGAACTGTTTTTTCACCCCAATAAGCTCCAACTCCAACATGATCCACTCTCTTTCAGTCGCTATTGCTTGTAGTAACCTAGCCGCGAGGAATCTAAACACAGTGGAACATTAAAACCCTCCGCCGCCTCCTAGCGTTTCGGAGCAGTACTGCAGAGCAACCAATACCTGAACGCAGAAGTATAAATGCTCACAACGGCGTCGCCTACGTGCGAAGCCAACGCCGTACACTACGGCGTACCCTCGACGCAGAAGTATAAATTGGCCTTAACGTTGAACCAACGTCAGACGCGTCATTCTTTCAAAACTAACGGAAAATCAACTTGAAATCAACGCGTTGTTTCAACGTTGTGAAAGCAAACCAATTTTCGATTTTCATTTAGCTTTGAAGAATGCCGCGTCTGACGTTGGTTCAACGTTAATTCGATGAGCAAAATCAACGTTGTTTCAATGTCACGAGAGACGTCGTTTCCACGTTGATTCAATGTCAGTTTGCTGTCTGGGTAACTAATACTGGGAGAAACACGTCCTCATCTTGGTTGTCAATCATGAGCGAATCACTGAATGCAACACTGCGCCATCGCCGCCAGTTTTAGCGATGCAGATCTCACTGCAAACGCAGCGGCCGTCCCGAGGAAACCCCCTCCTTCCGCTGCTCCCGCGCCGAGTAAAGTGGACAAAATCTGAGCGGATAATCCAGCTGGGGCCGCGGGCGCCGCCGCCGGGAACAGGAACATCAGGAGCGCGGGAGCGTACGCCACCCCGGCCCCCAACATAAACATACACAGCATTATCAACAACTTCATATTGCGCTGCGAGAGATGCTGAAACTCCTGCCCTTCCTCATTCACTCTCCTCTCCTCCTCTTCCTCAGCCCAGATTTCCAGTTCCTTCTTTTCTTCATCCTCTCTGTCCATCCTCTCCTCCTCCTCCTCCATCTCTCGTTCCACAAGTCTCGTCAGTCTCTCCTGTTCTCTCACCAGAGACGCCCAGAGACGCGTCAGTCTCGCAGGGATGGGTCGCGCATTCTGCTTTTCTTTCTTTATATCCGTCTGTATCTGTTGAATCCGGTCTTGCACGCGTTTCTTCGTCCTCATCGCGTCTTGCCTCTCTTCGTTCACGGACGCAACAAACGAACGCAATTGATCGTCAGCCATTTTCCCGACCTCCTTCTTGATCTTTTTCATTCTTTCGGCTCTATCGGCTTGCAGTTTTGCGTCTATAATCTTCTGCGCTTCATTCATTACCTCCATGATTTGACTGGTGAAGTGGCGGTTGTGGTTTAGAGCGAGTACCTCATCAACGCTCCGCAGGAGTCGACTCACTTGATCCGGGTTTGACGGGTTTTTGTTGTCGAACGCCACGAATCGCTTTCCGAATTTGTCCACGAGCGCCTTCACTTTCCGATCTTGTTTGCGAACGAATGTTTCGATGGGTTCTCCTCTGAGTTTGTCCGCGTGGGAGAACACGAGGACGGTGTGATGAGTGACGTCCTCGTGAAACATCTCCAGGATCAGTTGTACGGTGCGTTGTTGCTCCTCTGTGAAGCGCTCGATCGGCACGACTAGTAGGAACGCGTGAGGACCCGGGGAACACAGCGCCAGGCAGCGGATCACTTCTTCTTTTAGTTCTGAATCGGTCAGATCGGTGTCGAAAAACCCAGGCGTGTCGATAACGACCAGCTCTCGCCCCTGCACCGTCGCTCTCTCGCTCTTGCTCTCTTTCGTGACCGAGCTCATGCTCAACCCGTCGTCAAAGCACTTCTTTCCCAGGATGGTGTTTCCCGTCGCGCTTTTCCCCGCACCGGTTTTCCCCAGCAGGACCAGACGCAGTGTGTTCGGCGCTGGATCTAACGTGTGCTGCTGATAATCGATGTGAAATGAAGATAATCTCCGTCTCACGTTCGGGATCTCACTCATTGCTCCTGAGGAAAACACAAACTGTTGAAAGACTAAACAACAACCCAGCCGAGGCGAGCATTTGAGTTTATAAACTTTATAAACTTTGTTATTTATTTATTAAATGAGCGATCGTTTCGCTAGATAAGACCCTTATTCATCGTCTGTGTTGTTTAAAGCCCTTTGAAGCTGCACTGAAACTCTCATTTGGACCTTGAACCGTTTGGACCCCATTGAAGTGCTTTAAAGGAGTAGGTCACTTTTAAAAAAACTTTTGCTGATAATTTACTCGCCCCCGTCATCCAAGATGTCCATGTCTTTCTTTCTTCAGTCGAACAGAAATTAAGGTTTTTGATGAAAACATTCAAGGATTTTTCTCCATATAATGGACTTCAATGGGGTCCAAACGGTTCAAGGTCCAAATAAGAGTTTCAGTGCAACTTCAAAGGGCTTTAAAGGAGCATTTCACCCATTGCAACATTAATCTTTATTGAAAGTGGATCATATATGTAGTCGAAATGTAAAATCATTTTTTAATTTGGTGCCCTCTTGACTGAGAAAAGACAGAACATAACCAAGGGGCGCCTTTGTGTTAAAAAACTACAGTTCCCAGAATTCCCCAACATTGCACAGCTCCGCAAGCCACACCCACTAACCCACCCACCGGAACAGCGCAAACAGAGACGCAAACACACTCTTCCGTCTACAACGCTAACATTAGCTGTTACCAGAGTAAGAGTTTGAAATTTATTTCAAACAAAATGTCTAGTTAGTTGGCTGTGGCGAGCAGGACGATCGAGGGCGAGGGATGTAAGAGGACGGCGCGCTGCGCGAGGCCGGTGGCGTGAGTGATAATGAAAGACACCTGTAACGGCGCGCGCCGGTGCGTCTCTCACGAATAGAAGGAGCGAATGCATAAAATGGGGAGCGACGACGGCAGATCGAGAGAGAAACAGGCCTGATTTTATGTTTTGTTTCTGTTGTGTGTAACGCTGGCTTACTTTCGTTTTGTATTTGTTCATTTTACTATTAAAATGTTTAAATGTTCGCCGGTTCATGCCTCTTTCTTCCCACAACATCAAACCCCGTTCACGTTACATTTGTAAACACATTAACATTAGTGAATTACTCCGCGTTTGTATTTATTTCTGTATGGTGAATTACTGCATGATACCTGGATGTTCTGAAGGCGAAACTATCACAACACAAACGTCCGTGTGCTCGACTGAATCATAGATTTCCTCCAGGAGAAATTGCCATCGTTGAAATTCTCTGCAGCAGACGGACTCTGTGTCCGTAGGCTGTAGCACGCAGCGAGAGTCCAGGCAACAGCAAGCCGCCCAGCGCCAGAGTCAGTGGGGGGTCCTCGACCGCGACAGGCCGCTGCCTCGGCGTCTCCTGCTCCTCCATCAGCCTCAGCTGCTCTAAACTATACTGCAGCTCGTAAAGATAGCCACGAACATCGGATTCGAGCAGCAGAACGAAAAACCCTCTTCTTCCATATCATGTTTAGTTTCTTCCATCATTATCATAACTTCATATCTCCACAGGGCTTGTTAGCTTAGCTTCCAAACAAGATGGCGGATATTGATTTCAGTTTCTGCAAGTGAAGTCCCACCCACTGATCTGTAATAGGCCTGCGGGTGAGTGGGTGCCACACCCTTGAATAATAATGAGCTAATCATTGTAGTCTGTTGACATTTCAATGAAATGTGACTTCCTGCTTATGGTGACGCAAAATGACGATTTTTACGTCACGATAAGTAGGAAATAAAACACTTAAATCCTTATTTCTCCCATCTCAGGGGAAAATAAGGGAATAAACCATGACCATTCAAAAATATGACTGGGTTTCTAAAGATACAAAGCTTAATGCAAATGGGTGAAGTGACCCTTTAAAGACACCAGACGATGAATAAGGGTTTTATCGGTATAAGTCAAATAAGCTACTTAAGTGCATGAATTATACCCTTTAGACTGAAAATAGACTTTAATGTGTTTAATCTAAAAAAAGGCAAGGCTACAAGCTGAATACACTTCATTAATTTTAAACGTTCATAAATACCGTTTTCATAATGGGAAACGTTCTGAAAATATGTTTTTGTTTGCTAGGACGATGAACACCGATAAACATATTTCAATTATTTCCAGCAATCGTGATTTAGTTCAGATTTAAACAACACCATAAACATGATTAAAGCAAACAAATCCTGAATTACTAAAGACAAGGATAAACATGCAATCGTCTAATGAATAACGGCTTTGATTACCTTCGTTGTAGTACATGTTTTCTGCTTGTGCCTCGGTGTGTGTGTGTGTGTGTTCAGTGTTATTGGACAGCGGGCGGAACGTTTTGAGAAACGAAACTTAACACGAACTCACATCTGACGCGTCTGACCTCCGTTACTCCCACAATGACATATTTACCCACTGCGTGTTAAAAAAATGCATGTATATTTTTTTGTATAAACTTATTTCATGTAATAAATGAAAATATGGGTTTGTTATAGGCTACTTGACGTGTTTTCTCCAGTTTGCATCCGGGACACCGTGATCCTGTTTCAGAAATCAACAGACTGACATCACAGATTATTTGCATGCAAAAGATCGATATTCACATATTGTGCAAAACATGTAGACATATTACATGCATGCATTTACATAGTATTATTTATGCGCGCTGTGTTGACATTTCGCAAAACTGTGTTTTTATGGCAGCAATTCATCAAAACAGACTAAACCCACATCAAGCAGAACAAGAGGTTTTCTCTATTGCTATTAAATAACACTTCTGCATTGAATGACAAAAGCAATAACATTTTTGTTGAGTTGATTTATTCATTTATGGACCAGTGATGTCATGGAGAGTTTGATCAGAAATGTTTGGATGGAAAACTGTAAAGATTTGATTTTGTTATATTAAAGTGTTTGCAACAAAATATGAAAAATACCATGTACACAAACTAATAATAAAATGTACTAATAATAAACATTATATTATTTAACTTAGTCATCATATCAAGACCTTAAAAAGGCAAGAAATAAAAAAGCATGTATAGACTTTAATTATTTTCTTTTTGTAAGTTATCCCCCATATAATTTTTTTTATTTGTATTTTATTGTTTTCTTTCTGTTTTCTTTGATGCTCTTATAAGTGCAATAGATGTGATCCAACTGTGTGTGTGTGTGTGTGTGTTGTTATTGTTCTGTTATGCAATAATAATAAAACAACATTTGAATTGAAAACAATCCATCAGTGTCTAAAATAAGCACAAGTCAGAAAGATGAAGGAAAAATACTCAGTCAAACCCAGAAAATTAAGTGTAATTGCATTTAAGCAGGATATCATAAAAACAATACGTACCAAAAGAGCTTGAAGTGCAATTTTAAAGTTTTGCATAAAATAAAACAAATGTTTCTGGGGAAAGTGCTGGAGATTGTCAATAAAACAGCAGTTCTGATACAGTTAGTGCAATTAAAAACAACATTCACCCTTCAAAACCTCACGGTCACAAAAATACAGTTTCCCTTAAGTTCAGTATTTCTTTGATAAAGACTTAAAGTGAATTCAGTAACAATTCTTTTAGATACAACAAGATATATATTGTAAAAAAGCTCTGTATTTCATGCATTACTGGTATATTTAAGTGATTTGTGTGTTTTATTAACCACTTGTTTAACTTTTTTTTTTGTAAATAATTCACATAAATACCTTAAAGTGAATTCAGTAACAAATATTTTAGATAAAAGATTTCCAGCATTGCTGGTATATTACAGTAATTTATTTGTATTATTTCCCACTTGTTTAACTTGCGTTTTAAATAATCCACATAAATACAGTATTCTTTAAGTTCAGAATTTGCTAATAAATATCTTAAAGTGAATTCAGTTGCAATTATTTTAGATTCAAGAAATATATATATTTTTAAAAAGCTCCTTCATTACTGGTATATTTCTGTGATTTGTGTGTACGATTAACCACTTGTTTAATTTTTTATTTAAAATAATTCACATAAATACCTTAAAGTAAATTCAGTAACAAATATTTTAGATAAAAGCTCCCGATTTCCAGCATTGCTGGTATATTTCAGTGTTTTTTTGTATTATTTTACTTGTTTAACTTGCGTTTTAAATAATTCACATAAATACAGTATTCTTTAAGTTCAGAATTTGATAATAAATATCTTAAAGTGAATTCAGTTGCAATTATCTTAGATTCAAGAAATATATATTTTTAAAAAGCTCCCAATTTCCTTCTTTGCTGGTATATTTCAGTGATTTTTCGTAATATTTCCCACTTGTTTAACTTAAATAAATCACATAAATACAGTGTTCTTTAAGTTCAGAATTTGCAAATAAATATCTTAAAGTGAATTCAGTAACACATTTTTTAGATAAAAGCTCCCGATTTCCAGCATTGCTGGTATATTTCAGTGATTTTTTGTATTATTTTCCACTTGTTTAACTTAAATAATTCACATAAATACAGTATACTTTAAGTTCAGAATTTGCTAATAAATATCTTAAAGTGAATTCAGTAACACATTTTTTAGATAAAAGCTCCCGATTTCAGTGATTTTTTGTATTATTTCCCACGTAACTTGTGTTTTAAATAAATCAAATATTTAGACACAATAAATAAAAGTTAGAAAATCGGCACTATAATAGTGACCTGACAGGGCCTTGGAAGAGCCGTGCTGGAGTGTTTAGTTTCTATATGGGAACATGTTCCCTAAAACACGTGATCTCTGGAATGTAAACGTTGTAAAGCACTGTAAGGAGTGTGTGTGAGTGTGTGTGATGGACACTGGTGCCAGCGCTCGTGTTGGAGAGGATTCTCTCACTGTGTGTTGTAGTTCCCGATCTCGATGCGGGACACCATGTTGGCGATGAGTTTCTCCAACTGAGCGGCTCTCACAGCCGCCGTCTCCAGAACCTCCGCGTGATTCGCCTTCTTCTCACTCTCGTAATCCATCACCGACTTATTGGTGATCAGAGACAGAGCGAAGACACGCAGGCCACAGTGACGAGCCACGATCACCTCGTGTGCAGTGCTCATGCCTGAGAACACACACACACACACACAGAGAGACACACACACACATAAAGAGACACACACACAAATATAGATACACACACACACACACACATAGAGAAAGACACACAAATATAGATACACACACACACACACAAAAAAACTCTTAGATCACAAAACTTGCAGTACGTCATACGTCATACACTGCAAAAAAAATGCTCGTCTCGTTTCCAGTCCAAAATGAATGAAAATGAAGTGAGTTTGAGCTTAAAAACAAGCTAAATGATGCCAATGGGGTCAGAAAATAATGTTAATTCAAACAGAAACCAGAATATTTCTCTTCTGGGGATTAATTTCCCCAGAAAACAAGACGTATTATATCTAATAATATTTTACTCGTCTAATAAAAGCATCACGATTTAAGAACTTTTAGATATTTGGACTGGAAACAAGACAAAAATAGCTTTTTTCGCGGTGTATGCTATGCTAAACACACGGCGAGAGTTTGACGCAGAAGTCGTGACTCACCGACGGCGTCGGCCCCGAGCGAGCGCAGCATTCGGCACTCAGCGCTGGTCTCGAAGGACGGGCCGCCCACAACACAGTACACACCCTTCTGCATGAAGGAGGAGAAGCCTAGCTCATCCGCGACCTCGAGCGCTAGCTCCTGCAGTCCGCGGTCATACGCGTCAGACACACACGGGAACCGCACGCCAAACCTGCCGGTCAGAAGAGAGAGAAATGCTCAACATCACTGAGAAAAAAAGTGCCATGGTCTTATTATGGCGTGTTCACACCAATAGCGAAGCAGAAATTACTCGCGGTAATCAAAATCAAAAACATAGCGTGATTAGGAGCGTCACGCACGACAACAAACACAACATTTCAACACGTGAATTTTACTCTCGAGTTGAAACAATTTTTTCACGCAATTGAGGTGAACATCGACCGTTCGCGCGTGGAAACAGCATCGCCCTATTCATGTCATTTGCGCCCGCGCGAATCCGCGTCTTTGCATTGGCTTTGTATGTAATCTACTTGCGCAAATAATAGGTCTTGGGCGCCGCGTTGCATTCTGGAAATGTCATATGGATCCAAACCGTTAAAAGTGCCGGTTTATTCCACATACCGGTCACTGGCTTCCCTATTTATCATATCCCGGTAAACTCCACAACATTTTAGGGATTTTAACATCTTTTTTCTCTGCTGCTTTTTCTCCTCTTTCGACTTGCTGGTATGTTTATATGCTTGAAGCTGCCAACATGGCCGCCACGCCAGTAATGACGTCACAACGCCCAAGCCCTATTACATTTGCGTCTGGTGTGAACTGTGTCCACCGTAGCGTTTTTGTTTTTCGTGCGGCTGGCGTATTTTTCCAATTGTTCTCAATGGGAGTGCCGCGTTTTTAAAACACCAGAGTTGAAGAATGTTCAACTTTGGGTAAAACCAGAGCTCGCCTACGGAGAGCCTGGCCACTCCCTATTAAGTCCCTTTACACTGAACTGTGGTTGTAGTTCCTCCAGAGCTCCACCGGGGGCGATCGCCCGAGTGCGTGAGTGAATGGGAGTCTATGGGGCTAGACGGCTAAATGTGTCGATTGCCGTTGAGAAATCTCAGAGTTGATTGTAGGTTTTGCAAGTCCAACATGGGTTATAGGGCGAAAGTTGAATGAACGAGTGCTTGTGTCCGTTCCACTTCTTACAGGTTGAGTTGTTGTGGCCTATAACACGCTAGCATTCTGCTAATGAACGCTAGTTGGACAGTGACGGACTGATTATGAGCAGAGACACCGCTTGATGGCATCGTGGCGTCCGAAGCGGGACCAGAATATTATTAACTAAAACTCTTCTCGCACGTGTGTTTACCTGCGTCCGCTGTCTCGAGAGAAAGGAAAGTGCCGATCGCGAACAAAGGATTGCCGTTGATCAGTATCTTTAGTCGTACGATGTGTATGACGTCATTGACATTTTAAAAGACTTTTTAAAGCAAATAATCTCAAAACAATCTAACCCAGCAATGTGTAATTTCTATACAAAAATAATATCCTGAGAAGTGTATTTTGAGGGGTATATCTCCATTCATTTTGCACTCGTCCTGTGAGCGCCCTCATGTGGAGTCTGAGTGGAACTGCAACCAGTTTAGAAGCCGGAAGTTTACTGAGAGTGGAGGTTCTCCTCTTGTTAGACATTCTGTGGTAAAACCAAATGCACCCCCTCCCCCCATTTAAACTGCAATTCAACGACTGGCCACTAGAGGCTGGCTGCAGAAGAGACTCACTCCCATAGACCCGCATGTTAAAATGCCCAACTTTACAGCAGAAAAAAACATGTTTACAGTCTGGTGCAAAAAGTGTTTTTGGTCTATATCGCTAATTTTGCCCTTCATGATGACAGTGAGAGGGGTGATGTTTTTAAATAAATTATCCTTTTAAATTATATTAAGCCTCAAAGTTCTGCATGATAAAATGCAGACAAACGGCTAGTGGTGGCATCTCCTGTCCCTCAAGTGGCCACGCCCTTAATTATGCAGACCTTTTCTCTTTTGGAGCCGGCCTCCAGTGGCCAGTCGATGAATTGCAGTTTAAATCACTTCCATGTTGGATTCGAGGGAAAGGCATAATCGTGAAGAAAAGACTTTCATTTCATGACTTTTGATTTCAAATTATTAATTATGATTTATCAATGGCCTGTCCCTGCTATAACCTCATTGTTTATGTAATAAAGTATCTTACTAACAAGGGCATCAAATCACACACTGAATACAGACCAGCTCAATCTTACCTCTCGTCATTCGGTCCCACTAACGGGTTGTTTCCAGCGAAGCCGGGAATATTGATGTGATCCTTTATAACCATGATGTCGCCCACATTAAAGTCCTGGTTCAGTCCGCCAGCGGCGTTGGTCAGGAGAACCGTGTCCACACCCATGAGCTTAAAGACCCGGATGGGCATGGTGGTCTGCCAATACCAAAACACACACCAATCACAATCATACCATAAATAATAGCTGAAAAATCATAGTGTGTCAAAAATATGTCAAAATCAACACATAAAGTTTTTGCATAGTGACATTAATTAAAAAACTTTTAAAGAGGCCGTTTAAGTCTTGATGTTGTCTAGAACAGGTTTTCCTGCTTGAATGTTGATTATTCTCCTCATATTCTCCATTGTTGCGGCTCCTCTCTTGTCTGTCAGTAACGCTCTGTTTACTTCCTGTCTTTATGAAGCCCCTCCTCCTGAAAGCACACTGTGCTCTGATTGGTCGGCTGGAGCAGTGTGATGTGATTGGCCGAGTGTGTTTGTTAAAGTCCCGCCCCTTTCCATAACGGCCAGTTTAACACACTACTAACTAACTCAACCAGGCCCCGCCCCTTTATTCTGCGCATTAATTATTATAATGAGGAATATTGAGACGTGTTCGTTCCGGGAGAAACTCAAGATACAATGGAGGCGTTTCAGGAGTCACTGATATAGAGAAGAACTGGAGCTTTCTTATGATCAAACAGCAACATAAGAAAGGTAAACAGAGATAATCATGTAACTCTGTGGTGCAAAGTTTATGTTTTATTAATAAAGACATTGTAAAGGTGCCACTGATATTTACATTGAGCAAACACTGTCAAAACATGAACAGCGGCTGTTTGTCTTTATTAACAATCCTCGAGGACTGATATCGTGCTTTAGAGTTTCTCCTCCGCTAACAGGGAACGTTCCCAGAAACCTCTCAAAGCTATGAACATTCATACAGGGACATTAATAAAAAAGTTTGTTCCGTTATCTGGTCTTTATTAATGTTTTCAAAACAGAAACACTATTTATAAAAATGTTACTACTTGTTTCAGAACATTCCAAGAACATTATGGCAAACCGTTTTAGCTTAAAATGGTCCCAGAATTACTTGATAAACTGCATTTTTACTAGTAACAATTCCAATTAGAGAGCTCTACAAATTAGTTTTTACTAGTCATGTCTCCATTGACTTAATTTCCAATTACAGAGCTCTCTAATTTAATTTTTACTAGCAAAAACAAATCAAATATATGAATTATTGTAGAGCTCTGTTATTGAATAACAGAGCTGACCATTGGCATTCTTACGGGTAACAACTGGACTAGAGCGGTCTCTAAATTGAATTCTTTCTAGTGAAAATTGGATTAGTAAACTTTTAAAATAGATTTCTTAATAGTAAAATTTGGATTAGAGAGCTCTTAAACTAGAATTCTTACTGATAAAAGTTGGATTAGAGAGCCCTTAAAATAGAATTCTTGCTAGTAAAAGTTGGACTAGTGAGCTCTTAAAATAGAATTCTTGCTAGTAAAAGTTGGATTAGTGAGCTCTTAAAATAGAATTTTTACTAGTAAAAGTTGGACTAGTGAGCTCTTAAAATAGAATTCTTGCTAGTAAAAGTTGGATTAGTGAGCTCTTAAAATAGAATTCTTGCTAGTAAAAGTTGGACTAGTGAGCTCTTAAAATAGAATTCTTGCTAGTAAAAGTTGGATTAGTAAGCTCTTAAAATAGAATTTTTACTAGTAAAAGTTGGCCTAGTGAGCTCTTAAAATAGAATTCTTGCTAGTAAAAGTTGGATTAGTGAGCTCTTAAAATAGAATTCTTGCTAGTAAAAGTTGAACTAGTGAGCTCTTAAAATAGAATTCTTGCTAGTAAAAGTTGGATTAGTAAGCTCTTAAAATAGAATTTTTACTAGTAAAAGTTGGATTAGTGAGCTCTTAAAATAGAATTCTTGCTAGTAAAAGTTGGACTAGTGAGCTCTTAAAATAGAATTCTTGCTAGTAAAAGTTGGATTAGTAAGCTCTTAAAATAGAATTTTTACTAGTAAAAGTTGGACTAGTGAGCTCTTAAAATAGAATTCTTGCTAGTAAAAGTTGGATTAGTGAGCTCTTAAAATAGAATTCTTGCTAGTAAAAGTTGGATTAGAGAGCCCTTAAAATAGAATTCTTACTAGTAAACATTGGATTAGAGAGCTCTTAAAATAGAATTCTTAATAGTAAAAGTTGGATTAGTGAGCTCTTAAAATAGAATTCTTGCTAGTAAAAGTTGGACTAGTGAGCTCTTAAAATAGAATTCTTGCTAGTAAAAGTTGGATTAGTGAGCTCTTAAAATAGAATTCTTGCTAGTAAAAGTTGGATTAGTGAGCTCTTAAAATAGATTTCATAATAGTAAAAGTTGGATTAGAGAGCCCTTAAAATAGAATTCTTACTAGTAAACATTGGATTAGAGAGCTCTTAAAATAGAATTCTTAATAGTAAACATTGGATTAGAGAGCCCTTAAAATAGAATTCTTACTAGTAAACATTGGATTAGAGAGCCCTTAAAATAGAATTCTTACTAGTAAACATTGGATTAGAGAGCCCTTAAAATAGAATTCTTACTAGTAAACATTGGATAAGAGAGCTCCTTAAATAGAATTATTAATAATAAACATTGGATTAGAGAGCCCTTAAAATAGAATTATTAACAGTAAACGTTGGATTATCACCTTCTGAATGGGATATCCTTCATAGAGGTGAAACCTTCCCTGCATGCAAACGCACGGCTTTCCTTTCAGGGTGCCAAACACCAGCTTTCCAGCATGGCCGTCCACTGCAGAACACAGGCAGTTATGAAGGAGCAAGATCAATAACAACACAGTCCAGCGGACGTGTGTCTGAACTCACCGGTGCTCTGAGGGAAGTTTGGGATGTCGCTGTACTTGATGACCAGCTGATCTTTCAGCATTTCTGCCAGTCCACCGAGACCCGAGCCGCACACGATCCCCACCAGGGGGCGCACCTGAGTCTTGGCTAACAGCCAATCAGCTGTGGCCTTGCACTCCTCATAACTGTACCTGAAGGAGAGAACCATTTAACTTTTTTTTAAAAAAAATGGTGCAATAAATGTTAATTAATTTTTTTATGAAATACTATTATTTAATTTATTTTTTTATTTATTATTTATTTATTTTAATAATATTATTTAAATTAACATTAAATAATGTTATTAATAATTCACAAAATTAAAATTAATTAAAATGAAAAATTAATTGTACTTTATATTTCTGTAATGTTATTTAAATGATCTCATTTGCTATCATCATATTTACTTGAGAATGTGTGAGATTTTTTTAATCCCACTTACAAATGTTATTTTTTTTTATCTTAAGCTTCACTTAATTGTGTTTTATGCTGTGTTTTCGAATCAACCTACGAACGCCTTATGGACTTAATGTTTATGAGAGAAAAGTATACGATTACTGACTAAAATAACAGCGTCTGAAATGAAGGATGAGTCACTGTCTGGCTAATGTTAACAACACACAGCTGTGTGTTGTTATAAAAACATTAGTGACTCATCCTTCACCTTAAGGTGATGAAATAAAAAAGACCGTGAAATAATGGGTTATTTTAATGAAATTTTCAGAAAGACTCGGTTTGAATCATGCATAAACGAAACTCCCTCAAGTCAGTCAAACCCTGTAACGGAATCAACTTCGGCAATGACTCACTTTCCAGCACACCTTTCACTGAATGAGTCTGGTTGTCCATTAAACCACGTGGAGTTAATGATGCAATTTCTCAAAGCAGTTATATATTAGCAAACAAAAAGTACAAAACTGATCATTTATTTGAGAACGTATTCAGATGCACTCATCTGATCGTAACACAGCGCGCGCACCGGGTTTCCTCAGTTGAGCCTCACATTATATACACATGCACGTGTATTTTAGTAGGCTACTTCACTTTTCATAACTCAAGATCTTATATCAAATAGGAGATAGATATAAAGGAGATATAAAAGACAAATAAAGGAGAGCGGGGCACAACGTAACGCGGGTTAGTTAACACAATTCCACGTGCTAAACTTCGTGTAGCCTATTTATTTGCCAATAGAGGAAAAAAATGCGCCAAAATTCAAAATTTGCGTTACATTGAGCCTCTGTTATAAATATGCTACTCTATAATATACTTTGTGAATTCTATTGAGAACCCATGAGAAAAAGGTGAAGACTCAGAGTCAATCAATTATTGTTTTAAACTAGTTTCCTGTGTTCGTTGTCCAACTCAAAGATTAGTTTATTTTTAATTATTACAAAAAATGCCTTTATTTTATATGAAAAAGTCAAGCCTATTTTGTTGAGAAAATATTTAGTTTGTCGTAAATTCTTTGATTAGATCAGGCTATTTGTCGTATGCGGCATATGTTGTCACACTTCCATCCTTTATAGGACTATATCAAGAAGAAAAAAATACTGTATTAATAAAATAAAACCACATAATTTGTACCAGACGTGTGAAATCAATGTGTGACTAGATTTTCACAAACTGAGAAACTCAAAAAGCGTTGTTTTGTGTCCCGTTCTCCACTATTCCTATATCTGTCCATCTCTGTACAGTCTGTTCATGTAAACATCATCGTGTCGTGATGTACATGTGAGATAGCCTGTGCGAATGCGTGTCAAACCTAGGAATCTGCATGTTTGTTTGTTTGTGTGTGTGTGTGTGTGTCTGTCAAACCTGTTTAACAGGGTTCAGCACATCCTGTTTGTTTCATTTAACAGAAACACATAAATAATAGGGCGATAATATAATAACGTGTCTGATGTAAGGGCTACAGTTATGACGTAGGCTATGTATAGAGCAGTCGCGCGCGTGCCAGACGTGACACAGCCTATAGCTTTAAAATATGAAGCTAAAGTGATCGACATCAGTGTTCAAGTTCAACTCTCAGATTATGAACATCAAAAGCAACTTTTGTTAACTTCAAGGGTTTTAAAGTGCGTGTACTCACCCTGTAGTTGAATCAGGAAGCATCTCGATGAGTTTCAGTAGTGAAGAAGAATAGAATTAAAGTTGCGCGGTTTAGTAAGTGCGTCTCCGGTAAATGTTACCTTTTATGCACTCGGTGTCCCTTTAAACTGTTTTCTCCGGCTCTGCGTGTGTGGGAGGAATGAGAATGACCTATAAAACGCATTTCCTCCTCCATCAGACTCTCCATTCATGAGACTCGCGCGCTCATTGGCTGCGCCGCACGGGTGTGTGAAAGATGATGCGCTAGTTTCCTGAGCTTTGTGACGTCACTCACCACACCTCAAGGTAAGGGGGCGGGCCGGGGGGTGTTTGAAAAGTGCTATTCAAAATGAATTCACTTCTATTTTTCACCAAATTTCACATTCATAAAAGCATATCTAATGATACACTAAATATATGAAAGTTTAGAGAGACTGAACAGTTTGTGAGAAAGCATTATTTTTATATGGACTCATGCATTTTCTGTAGAGCCGCTTTGAAATTATGTGAATTGCTATACAAATAAACGTGAATTGAATTGAGTTGAATTATACTTTTACCCGACTGTACCCTTTTTATATCACGGTATTATTGTTTATATATTTAAGGCAAAAATAAAGATTAGATTAGAACAGGGTTAGATAGATTAGATTAGGGGTTGCGCACATAAAGTATTCTCATTGCTTGACGAATTTATGGTTGAGCCACTAAAGTCACTCGGACTATTTTAACGATGTCTTTAATAACCTTTCTGGGCCGGCAAGTTTCAATAACTTAAGCCCGGAACACACCAAGCCAAGGGCGTAACTTTGGGTCTACCATTGGGGGGGTTAAACTCGCGCCATATTTATTAATTTATTTATTTATTGAATAATTTTCTTTTGTAAATGATAACATGCTTATTTGCCGTTCCTGTATTAGAAATACATTGTGATACTTTTATTCCCCACTTCTGAGGTGGGAAAGGTTTCCGAGCCCCACCTGTCCCCAATCAACCCAACAAAATGTTAATGGGGTACCTCCGTTTGGTCAGGATTTTTCCTTTTTTGGAGCCGACCAACAATTAAAAAAATCGTTGTCTGGCTGCCTTTCAATGTCCTTTCCATCTTTCTATCCGTTAGCATGCAACTTCAGCTATTTCCTCAAACCATTCATCCCAGCGACTGCGCAACATAAACAAACTTGGTAGAGAAAGCGGGTTGGGTAATACCAAGTCGGTGCGGTGGGCAGAGGGTACATTAAAATATGATACTATCTATCTTGTTGGCAAAATGTATTTAATATTAATTCGGAATCTGAATGATTCGGAATCTATTCTAATCTGAATGATGTGATGATATTCGGGGGGTTATATTAGCTGGGTCTGATTTTTGAGGGGGTCATAACCCCCCTAACCCCCCCGCAAATTACGCCTATGCACCAAGCCGACGGTCGGCCGTCGGGCAGTTTTTGTGCGTCGGCAAACTGAGTTTCCTCGGTGTGATACACACGGTTCCGTGCCGTCGGCTGAAAATAGTCCTCGTCGGCTTTGTTTCGCGCGACTCGACATGTTGAATCGGCGTCGGGCCGTTGGGGAAAGACTTCTCTCTAGGGTGCGCTTCCCAAAAGCATTGTTAGCAGTTAGCCAACTATGGTCGCAAGTTCTGTCGTTATCAGCATAGTTCAACGAGTACGTGTTTTTTCCCGAAACCGTCGTTCCAACGAACATTCGCAAACAGCATCGCAAAGTTGTGTCGTTTGAACGACAGCTGCATGGAAGTGAGTTATCCTGCAGTTCCTCCACTGGCCACTAGAGGCCGGCTGCAGAAGAGACTCTGTACAAAAGGCCCGGATACCTTTAAATGTCCTGGACGATTTCAACCAATCATAGAGTACAAGGTTGCCATAGTGACATTCGTGCTGAGGTGGATTCAGTCGGAGAGAGAAGACGCATCATAATTATTAGTTAAGATACTTGACAGTGTCAGTTTAGTTAACCTGTAGTGTTCGACGATTATTCAGCTGGTTTACATATACATTGAGTCGCTGTGTGCGTACATACCAAGTAAGTTTATATTTCCAAGTTTTTCCGTTAGTATGCAGAAACTGTTAGACGATGTTCATTAGCGCGAGCGGTACCTGATTGGCATAAATCTGCCTGTATTACTTCTTCTTTAGTAATTTTTCGGAGATTCTGCATGTAACTTATGAGACATTATGTTATTATTAGTTTTACGGTTACTTTAGAGATGATCATTATCATGAGGTAATCAGCGCCGTATACTGAGCATATGGAATGTCTAGTTAAACGCATTTATGTGCTATTAGCGCCTCCTTGTGGTGATGTTTAGAATTATTATTCTGTCTGATAGCACTTCCTTAATGGGTTTGTTAGACTGAATGCTGTTAATAATGTTTATTATTAATGATGTATACGTATGTTAATATTTATTTCTTTGTTTAATTTGTTATAGAACCACACCTACATACCCCATATGTAAATCAACCAGCTCTTCAGTAAATAAGTGAAGTTTGAACCCTGCCCGGTGTGTCTGTTCAACTAAGCCTCATCTTATACAGTTCTGACCGACTGCCTGCTGCGTTTTACATCCATTAAAATTAGTCTACTATCGAACCTCTTCATTTCAGACTCAATCCCATAGACCCGCATGTTAAAATGCCCAAGTTTACAGCAGAAAAAAACATGTTTACAGTCACAGCAATCTTTATGCTATGATGGCAAACTCAACAGTCTCAATAACCCCGCCCCCGACATAAACATGACATGGTAAAAGAACGGTTCTAGTCCAGCAAAGACTTGATGCCTGTTTGGACCGAGAACCGGTTATTTGGCTGTCGAAACACAACTGGTTCGCGAGTATAGGCACCGGATCCGAACCGGCTCTCAAAATGCTTTGGTGGAAAAGAGGTAACACACACACACACACACACACACACACACACACACATTAACTCTCTGAGTTATTATTCCTCTCACAGACTCTTTGAGTGTTTGAGCGCCGGTGTTCTCAGGATGTTCTGTTCTCGCGCTTCCTACAATGTTTTTGCAAGTTTGTGCTAAAGTTCCTGAATCAGAACAAAAGATGAAGAATGAGACCATGAAAGAATCAGCGTCTCCTTTCACAACGGCACTAAAGCAACTCTGGAATAATACACTTTACTCTTAATATCTCTTAATATTATGTTAATACATTTATGATGAACTGTTTAGAGTTCAAATAGAGAAAATGTTTTTAAAAATGTGAATTAAAATGAATGAATTAAGTTTGTGGCTTTTTTTTCTCACAATCAATACAAAAATATAGATATTACCAGCCTGAATGTAAAATTGCTAAAAAGTTTGTTTTCTTATTCACAACTCAAGTCATCCAAATTGTTTAAAATATAACACCAATTGGATCTTATATGCTTGTAATACTTGCTTGTTAATGCATAATGTCTGATATTTCTCTTTTAGCGATATCCAGATTTGTTTATAAAGGTTTTTGTGACTTATTTCTTTTATATTTTGCAAATAATTTAAATCTTAATTTAAAATTTTTGTCTTCGGGGCTTTGGGTTTAAGAAAATTGCAATATAAATAAAATGCATTATTATCATTATTATTATTAAGTTCAATTTAATGATTTTTTTTTAAATACACGTATGCATTGTAGATTCATATGAAGGATCATAATTGGATGCATACCTGTAATAATTATAAAATAATAACAGAGCAAAATCCTGTGTAGCAGAGCAAAGAGGTTGATGAATGAAGAGAGAGAGAGAGTGTGTGTGAGAGAGAGAGAGATTTATAAAAGCGAGATGTGCACCGAGATTCACTCCATCTAAAGAGCTTGTGTTTACTAAAGTTAACATTATAAGGAATATCAACATGTTGATCAGATGCGAATGCAGAATCTCCACTGAAGCTGAACACCTGAGTGTGTGTATGTGTGTGTGCTAATAGACCGCAGCCGCGTAAGGTAAGACACACACAGTTGTGTTTCTCCTAACACAGGCACATTTTATCTGGCATTTATTGCTACATAAGCAGAAATATGAATATGATACATCTTTGCAGAACAATTGTTTCAAGCGCTTGCATATTACAAAGACCTCAATGTCCTGATAATGCATTCGGCAGAAGCTTTTATCCAACATTTGATGATTTCTATCATGTTGAAACTAACTCATAAGCTTATGCAATGCAGACGAGGAAGGGTTAAAGTTAAAAAAACATTAAACTGCATAAAAAAAGTCCATTTGAATTAAGTTTATTTTCCTGACTCCATTGGCAGATATTTGATCTTGTTTAATTCACTTCATTTTAAAGCATTTTTTCCAGAAAACACAATAATATTTTCAGTCATTTTACTTATTATCTTGATTTAAGAATGTTTAGATGTTTGTGCTGGAAAAAGAGGCAGAAAAGTAATTTTTTTCCAGTGTTAAATCTGTGTGGAAACTTATTAAAGAGTCCAGGATGGCTATTCCTGAGTTAAACTCTGTCTGTGCATTTGTGTAAATGCAATAATGTGAAAGAAAGTGAGAAATTGAGAATTTGTAAAGTGAGACTGAGGCTTTGAGATTTGCGGTGGGGGGATCGTTATCCACTTTGAATACTAATGAGCTGCTATTCTGTCAACACACACACACAATACACAACACACACACACAAAGATATGTTTGTCAGTGCTCTGTTTTGTCCTGTTGGTCAGTGTTTCAAACAATACAGTCCTTTGTACGAGAGAAAGAGAGAGAGAGAGAGAGAGAGAGAGAGACAGAAATGGGAAGTGTTGATAAGGAGGCACCAGAGAGACTGAGATGTAAAACTAGAGCACCTCAAACTAAAGTATCAAACGCCAAAATCATGCAAGAAGCTTTCAGATTTTTTTTTTGTATTATATATATTATTATGGAATATTAAAAGTTATTTATATTTTCATTTAATTTTCATTTAATATTTTCCATTTATTATACATATATATATATATTAGTTTAAACAATGTGTATACTAAATGAAAATGAGAAAATGAAATTCCTGGAAAATTTCATAGCTAGAAATTCAATTTTATCGGCTTGCATTTTTGTAGCATGTTTTAGTACATTGCTATCATGAGTTAGCAGTCTTACCAATTTTCTACCGTGTTGATACACTAGCATGTTTTAAGACTTTGCCCAGTATGCTATAATATTTTTATTATTAAAATTTGCAAACACAATTTACCGTGATGTTAACATCTTTTACCACTTTTATAGAATGATGTAACATGTTGCTTATATGTTTTAACACTTTGCTAGCAACTGTTTGTCTCTTCATTTAAAGCCTTAAATTCCCCCTGTAGTCGATCATTTTATCGCTTAAAACTCAAAATTACATATTTAAGCATTTTTTCCTTGGAAAATAAATCTTCATGCTTTAAAATCTCTTGAATGTAACTCGACACCCTCGCCTCATTTAGTATACGCAGGTCTATAAATATGCAAATGAGCCCCGCCTCCACACACACACTCATCACACCTTGATCTGATTGGTTACAAGGTCGTTTGTGACGTCAGAAACACCAGCGATTTCAAAGCGTGTTTTTGAGACTGTCTTTGTTTTTAAGGAGGAAATACTCAGCAATGCTGTCGACTTATGAACTTACACATGGTGTGTGTTAAAGCGGATTAAAACCACCACATACAAACATAAACAACATTAAAAGCCAGATTTTCACCCAAGGGGGACTTTAAAAAAATGAAAGCATCTGCCAAATGCATTAATATAAATGAGCCTCATTTGTTTCTCAACTAGATGACGTCGGCCACACCCACTTCTCATGGCCCCGCCCCTCAGAAGGTCTGCCACTCCCAGACTCAGACAGACGTTCTGAAGCCTCTGCTCGGAGGGGCGGGGCCAGGGAGTCAGGTGACACGCAGGAGGCGGGTCTTATCCAAGGATGGGCGGAGCAACGTGCGCATCGAGCATGTGAGTGGGCGTGGCGCTCTGTACCTGCGTGACCCCTGGACGACCTTTGTGGACATGCAGTGGAGGTACAAACTGGTTCTGTTTACCGCCACGTTTGTGGGCACGTGGTTCGCCTTCGGACTGCTGTGGTACTTGCTGGCTTTGGTGCACGGAGACCTGCTGGGTAAGAGTTACGCCCAATTTATACTTCTCCGTCGAACTCGCGCCATAGCTACGTCGTAGGCTGTGTTTGTGCACGTACCCTTCGCCGTACCCTGACGCGGTGCACCTCTCCAAAAATGTCCAAAGCGCTTTGGTGGCCAGTGGGTCTGTGAAAGCGCTATATAAATGCTCCCCGGGTTTCAACGCTCCCTCTGCTCACGACCAATTCGTACTCGTACGAATTTGTACGATTTTTCTAAACCCACGTGACGGTTATGTTTAGGGGCGTGGTCAGGGGTAGGTCATTCGTACGAATTCATACGAATTGGCTAATTCGTAAAATATGTACGATTTAGCAAAATCATACTAATTCGTACGAGTGAGGTCGTACGAATTGTTACGAATAAGCCACCTCGTAAAATTCGTACGAATTCCCGTGAGATCGGGTTGGTAATTGCGCGTCAACGGGGACAACGATGCAGAAGTATAAATGAAAACCAACGCGTAGTCTATAGCATAGAGCAGAGATGCCCAAACTAGGGCCCGCGGGCCGAAGTTGGGCCGTGGTATCCTTTGATTTGGCCCGCCATACCGTCCGGGGAGAGGGGATTTCTTTAAAATGCAAAACTTTACAAATAAAACTGCATTAGTTAATCAGATTGAAGTTGTTTTATATTTATTTTAAATATTATAAAACAAATGAACCCATAGCAATATAATACCGTTTGATTTATGATGCAAAATTTACTTTTGGCCCACGGCTCACAATCAAGTTTGATTTTTGGCCCTTCGTAGGAAAAAGTTTGGGCACCCCTGGCATAGAGACTCCGGCGTAGGTCCGACGCAGAAGCATAAATCAGCCTTTATTCTCTGTTCATCTCGAGGTTTACAGTAGTCTGCTGAATCCAGGCCGTATCCATCCACACATACACACACACTCCAGGACCTGCGCCTGGACACGACGACAATACACACACACACACACTCACTGGACACTTGACACGACAACACCGCAGTCCTGAAGTGTCACTAGTCCCTCCATGTGAAGGCTTCCATCCCTTTACCTCTGTAGATTAAACGTTATTAAAATGATTTCAGTTCGCATAGATACGCAGAAGCGACTAAAATTCTGCATTATGCAGTGATAATGCTGACGAGTAACCCAGACAGCAAACTGACATCGAACTCTCGTGACATCGAAACATTTAACAAACGTTAGTTATCGAACGTTTAACCAACGTCAGACGCGGCATTCTTCAAAGCTAAATGAAAATCGAAAATTGGTTTGCTTTCATAACGTTGAAACAACGCGTTGATTTCAAGTTGATTTTCCGTTAGTTTTGAAAGAATGCCGCGTCTGACGTTGGTTCAACGTTAATTCGATGAGCAAAACAATGTCAGATCAACGTTGTTTCGATGTCATATTTCCACGTTGATTCAATTTCAGTTTTCTATCTGGGTCATGACATCGAATTAACGTTGAACCAACGTCAGACGCGGCATTCTTCAAAGCTAAATGAAAATCGAAAATTGGTTTGCTTTCATAATGTTCAAACAACGTTGATTTCAAGTAAATTTTCCGTTAGTTTTGAAAGAATGATGCGTCTGACGTTGGTTCAACGTTAATTCGATAAGCAAAACTATGTCGGATCAACGTTGTTTCGATGTCATATTTCTACGTTGATTCAATGTCAGTTTTCTATCTGGGAATGTAGCGATGTCAATGTGTAGCTTCAGTTCAGTTTCACTTTATTTATCCTTTGGAAGAAAATTTAGACTTCCAAAGTATAAATAAAGTGAAACTGAACTGAAACTACACACCCAGATAGCAAACTGACATTGAATCAACGTGGAAACATGACATCGAAACAACGTTGATCCGACATTGTTTTGCTCATCGAATTAACGTTGAACCAACGTCAGACGCGTCATTCTTTCAAAACTAACGGAAAATCAACTTGAAATCAACGCGTTGTTTCAACGTTATGAAAGCAAACCAATTTTCGATTTTCATTTAGCTTTGAAGAATGCCGCGTCTGACGTTGGTTCAACGTTAATTCGATGAGCAAAATCAACGTTGTTTCAATGTCATAAGAGACGTCGTTTCCACGTTGATTCAATGTCAGTTTGCTGTCTGGGAAAGTATAAATAAAGTGAAACTGAACTGAAACTACACAGTGACGTCGCCAATTACTATGTATTAAGACTTCGCGCCTGTGCACATATTCAAACGCGCATTTCCATAGACTTCAACGTTTTCAAAACTTGGACCTGTTTCAAAGTTCGCAAACACCGTTGTGAGTAAATGAACGGCTAGAACGCATTAAACGTTTCTGTTTTCAGTTAAGCGGTGTCGTGTTAGTTAATAACTAATGATCTTTACAACGGAAGTGAATCAATCAAAACTAACTTTATCCCGGCGAGAAACCGAACCCCTGTAATCGAGGTGCTCGTGTCTTGCGTTTCTTCCTCTAGAGTTCGATCCTCCAGCGAACCACAGTGTGTGTGTGATGCAGATGCAAACGCTGACGGGGGCTTTCCTCTTCTCCCTGGAGACGCAGACCACCATCGGCTACGGGTACCGGTGCATTACTGAAGACTGTCCGTCTGCAATCGTCCTGCTCATCCTCCAGCTGCTCATCACCACCGCGATGGAGATCTTCATCACCGGAACGTTCCTCGCCAAGGTGCACACACACACACACACACTTACACGCCGTCTGGGAGTCAAAGAGATGGTTGTGATTTCACCAAGAAAAACATGATCCTGTATCAAGATCTTTTGCTGATTCTGGAACAGCACTCCGATCAACTAATCAGGGGTGCGTTTCCCGAAAGCATCGTTAGCCAATTATTGTCGCAAGTTCCGTCGTTATCAGCACAGTGTTGCCAACTTCAAATGAAAGTAGCTAACGCCTTCCCTAAAAGTCGCTAAATGTCGCTAGATGACGTCATATGTTAATTAGCATATTCGTGACGTCATCGCGTCGTACTTGCGTTCCGCTTGCCTAATGTGTTTTCTCTAGAAATTAATGCTCAGCTCACATATTGTATTTAATATATTATAATATAATATAGACGAATGTAAAATAAAGCTGTTCTCATTTCCTATATATTTTTGTCACACAAAACGTAAAACATAGTGAATGACAAAAAAAGTAATACAGCAAGCACAAGAAAAGAAAGGAAACTAAATTGTTTAAATAAAAAACATTATTATTTCAAGAAAGCAGATAAGTGATAGGTCCGTGGGAAAACACTGCTCATTCACCTCTGTCAGTGGCGTTCAACAGATGATCTGCTCCTCTCAGCCATTCACTAAACAGGGTAGACGTAGAGTGAATGAAAGCAAAGGGAGAAAAGCAAAAAGTCGGGGTCTGAAAAGTCGCTAAAAATAGCGACTCATTTGCGCGATTGTTTTGCAGTTTGTACGCGGATCTCACGGGAATTCGTACGAATTTTACGAGGTGGCTAATTCGTAACAATTTGTACGACCTCACTCGTACGAATTAGTACGATTTAGCTAAATCGTACATATTTTACGAATTAGCCAATTCGTATGAATTCGTACAAATGACCTACCCCTGACCCCGCCCCTAAACATAACCGTCACGTGGGTTTAGACAAATCGTACAAATTTGTACGAGTGAGGTCGTAAGAATTAGTACGAATTAGCCACTTTTGCATCATTCGTACAAATTCGTACGAATTGGTCGTGAGATTGGTCCTCTGCTGCACGAGGACTGGGCCACCTGTGAGTGATTTGGGACGGGGTGAGACCCACGGCAGCACTCGCTGCTCGTTGAGATGAGGAAAAACCATATGTGATTTCACATCAGAGAGTCTCCAAAAGTCTCTAATAACACCAGAAAAAGTCGCTAGATTTGTCGCTAGTCGCTTTTTAGAAAATTTGTCGCTAGGGGGGTCTGAATACTCGCTAAATATAGCGACAAAGTCGCTAAGTTGGCAACACTGTATCAGCATAGTTCAACGAGTCGGTGTTTCCCGAAACCATCGTTCCAACGGACATCGCGAACAGCATCGCAAAGTTGTGTGGTTTGAACGACAGCTCTCGTATCGTTTCTATATTTCAAGACATTTGGAGGTAATAAATGCTTATCTTGAGCAAAATAAGCAAGCTGACATTCAGTACAACCGGTGCCTTTTATTTAGAATACATACAAATGGAATTTTCGTCTTTCAGTTTGTCAAAAGATTTGAAGTAACGTGTTTGAAGAGTGCGCATGTGCGTAGAACGAGTCAAATATTGAATCTGGAAATAAAGCAAAATAACCGAGAAAAATTTGAAATATTCCTCAGATGCATGTCTGTAATCTATGTCAAAACATTGTTAATTCGATCTCAAACAGTTTCATTAAAATAAGTTATTATTTCTTCATGTTATGGATTTCTTCAACGATGCATCGCACTATAGTGAAGCAGCGAGTTACAGCGCTGTACGAGAAACACACCCCTGATTAGATGGACAAGTTTACATTTTATGTCAAGTTTAGGCTTACATCACATCAGCAGTGTTGGGGAAAGTTACTTTGAAAAGTAATGCATTACAATATTGCATTACTCCCTTAAAAAGTAACTAAACGCATATAGAAAAGTTATGCGTTACGTTACTTTTTTTTCCCCATTGTTTCCCCAAGTTGTATTTTTGTGCAAATGTAAAGACCCTTTCTCACCAAAAGTGAAATAATAATCCTCAGGCTGAAGGAAATGCAGACTCCCTCCTGTACAGTAGAGGGCGCCGCTCAAGCAAACCTTCAGCTTCAGGAGAATAAAGTTTACTTTACCAATAAAAACCAAAGAAATCTATAATAATTTTTGCTTATGGTTAAACTGAACCATCGAAGGTCAGTAGCGAGTACATTGGACAATAAAACAACAATTAAGGTCACACGAACAAAGTTCTTGTTTTTTGTTGTGCATCCCGATGTGTTTATTATTTAAATATGTAAATTTTGGGGTATATGAGCCAGATTTATTCGACAGGTTTCATTATGTTCACCTGCTGCATGTTTCTTCACTCTCTCTCTCTCTCTATCTTAGGTGGCTCGGCCGAAGAAACGTGGTGGGACGATTCGGTTCAGTCAACACGCGGTAATAGCCAATCACGACGGCCGACCGTGTCTCATGATACGAGTTGCCAACATGCGCAAAAGTCTGTTGCTGGGCTGCCAGGTAACCGGATGAGAATGATCACTTCTTATCAAGGTCACCAGTTAATGATTGATTTATTTAATGATTTTTCACACAACCAGAGAACACAGAACAGAATGAAATTGAATTACATACTCACAAATATTGATTTAACTGTGTTTATAGTTTTAAGCTTTGAATAATTACATTTATAATGAACATTTCTCTCTTTTTGGATTAATTTCTGCAATGATTGAAGATTGCATTCATCACAAAGGACACATGCAATGCTCTAGTTGAGGTGGTATAATTATGACGTCTTCCATTTAGAACTGGTTTCACACAATATTACAAATAAAAATGTAGTTTGTAAAATGGGGCTTTCATAAAGATGCACCTTATGGTTCTACTGCATGATCATTTCTCCAAAGAACCATTATTCTAAAGAATATTTTAATAATAGATCGAACATTTATCCTCTATAATAAACTATAGTGCAATGGAAAGATTTCAAGGATGTTAAACGTTCTCCTGGAAGCATCAATGCCAATAAAGAACCATTGTTAACATTTTAAAGAGAACCTTACTGGTTCTATGGATGTTAAACGTTCTCCTGGAAGCATTAATGCAAATAAAGAACCATTTTTAACAGTTTAAAGAGAACCTTATTGGTTCTAAGGATGTTAAACGTTCTCATGGAAGCATCAATGCCAATAAAGAACCATTATTAACAGTTTAAAGAGAACCTTATTGGTTCTATGGATGTTAAACGTTCTCATGGAAACATTAATGCAAATAAAGAACCATTTTAAACAGTTGAAAGAGAACCTTATTGGTTCTAAGGATGTTAAACGTTCTCATGGAAGCAATGCCAATAAAGGAACAGTTTAAAGAGAACCTTATTGGTTCTAAAGATGTTAAACATTCTCATGGAAGCATCAATGCCAATAAAGAACCATTTTTAACAGTTTAAAGAGAACCTTATTGGTTCTAAAGATGTTAAACATTCTCATGGAAGCATCAATGCCAATAAAGAACCATTTTTAACAGTTTAAAGAGAACCTTATTGGTTCTAAAGATGTTAAACGTTCTCCTGGAAGCATCAATGCCAATAAAGAACCATTTATAATATTTTAAAGAGAACCTTATTGGTTATATGGGTGTTAAACGTCCTCATGGAAACATTAATGCAAATAAAGAACCATTTTAAACAGTTGAAAGAGAACCTTATTGGTTCTAAAGATGTTAAATGTTCTCATGGAAGCATCAATGCCAATAAAGAACCATTTTAACAGTTTAAAGAGAACCTTATTGGTACTATGGATGTTAAACTTTCTCATTGAAGCATCAATGCCAATAAAGAACCATTTTAAGAGTGTAAAGAGAACCTTATTGGTTCTATGGATGTTAAACGTTCTCATGGAAGCATCAATGTCAATAAAGAACCATTTTTAACAGTTTAAAGAGAACCTGACTGGTTCTATGGATGTTAAACGTTCTCATGGAAGCATCAATGCCAATAAAGAACCATTTTTAAAAGTTTAAAGAGAACCTTACTGGTTCTATGGATGTTAAACGTTCTCATGGAAGCATCAATGCCAATAAAGAACCATTTTTAACAGTTTAAAGAGAACCTTATTGGTTCTATGGATGTTAAACGTTCTCATGGAAGCATCAATGCCAATAAAGAACCATTTTTAAAAGTTTAAAGAGAACCTTACTGGTTCTATGGATGTTAAACGTTCTCATGGAAGCATCAATGCCAATAAAGAACCATTTTTAACAGTTTAAAGAGAACCTTATTGGTTCTATGGATGTTAAACGTTCTCATGGAAGCATCAATGCCAATAAAGAACCATTTTTAACAGTTTAAAGAGAACCTTATTGGTTCTATGGATGTTAAACGTTCTCATGGAAGCATCAATGCCAATAAAGAACCATTTTTAAAAGTTTAAAGAGAACCTTACTGGTTCTATGGATGTTAAACGTTCTCATGGAAGCATCAATGCCAATAAAGAACCATTTTTAACAGTTTAAATAGAACCTTATTGGTTCTATGGATGTTAAACGTTCTCATGGAAGCATCAATGCCAATAAAGAACCATTTTTAAAAGTTTAAAGAGAACCTTACTGGTTCTATGGATGTTAAACGTTCTCATGGAAGCATCAATGCCAATAAAGAACCATTTTTAACAGTTTAAAGAGAACCTTATTGGTTCTATGGATGTTAAATGTTTTCATGGAAGCATCAATGATAATCAAGAACCTTTTTTTTAACAGTGTAAAGAGAACCTTATTGGTTCAACGGATGTTAAAGGTTCTTCATGGAACCATCAATGCAGATAAAGAACCTTTATTTTTGAGAGTGCATGGAAATCTCCAGATGGTGCATTAATACGCCGTTTTAAAAGACTGCTCACTAGGTCTTGGAAGTGAAATATTGAGAGTTCTTTGAAGACAAATGTAATTTATCTCCAGGTGACAGGGAAGCTTTTACAGCCGTGCGTGCCGAAGGAGGGAGAGACGGTGCGTTTGAACCAGAAGAACGTGAGCTTCAGCGTAGACACGGAGAGCGAGAGCCCGTTCCTCATCCTCCCTCTCACCTTCTACCACACCATCGATGACGAGAGCCCGCTGCAAGCCTGGGCCGACACGGGTACGGGTCAAAATCAAAAAACACCATATGTGACACCGTCACGAGTCGCACGGATATATTTTTGACAATAGCCAACAACACATTGTGTGGGTCAAAATGATCGATTTTTCTTTTATGCCAATTTTAAGTAAAGATAATGTTCCATAAAGATATGTTCTACCGTAAATATATGAAACATTTATTTTTGCGAGTGGATGCAGCAAAATGGTGAACATAAATGCACAACTTTAAAGGCGATTTTCTCAATGTTTATTTATTTTTTTTGCATTTTTTTCCTCATTAGGTGGAGGATGGACAGAACCCGATCCGGTGGATTTTGAGCTGCTGGTTATAATGATCTCCACAGTAGAACCAACATCGGCCACCTGTCAGGTGCGGACCTCGTACCTGCCCGAGGAGATCCTGTGGGGGTACGAGTTCCCGCCCATCGTGTCGCTCTCGTCGATGGGAAAATACGTGGCGGATCTCGCATACTTCGACAAAGTGGTGAAAACTAAGACCCCGCCCCTTTTTAAGCAGACTCCGCCCCCTTTCAAACAGACCCCGCCCAGTGGCACCCGTGAAACGGACCCGGAGAAAATGCGGCTCGAGCAAAGCTACCGAGAGGGGACCGATGAGAAACAGAGCGTTCGCATTAGTAACGTATGAAATACATCTATCTCCGATAAATATAGAATTATTTGATATGTTGATAATCTTCAGCGGCGCGTTTGAACCAGAATTTTTGCATTGCGTAGCATAACACCAATGTCCTTAAAATCAATTAATTGATGTTATTGGTAACACTTTACAATAAGGTTCATTAGTTAACATTAGTTAATGTATTAACTGACATGATGATACATTATTAGCAATACATTTGTTACAGTATTTATTAATCTTTGGTGATAAAAATACAGCTGTTCATTGTTTGTTCATGTTAGTTCACAATGCATTAATTAATGTTAATAAATAGAACCTTTGATTTTAATTGCGTAAATTAATTTTAAATAAGATTAATAATAAAGTATTGTTCACTCTTAGTTCCCTTATCGTAAAAGTGTTACCAAGTTATTAATATTGTATGAACAGCACCAACCCAATAAGAAGCACAATTATTAACGCAGCATATCTGAATAGGAAAATGGATAACTTTGTGCATTGCTAGTTGAAATATAGCGTAATGTGCTTTTAAATTTGACAGAACGTCACATCACAAAGGCCATTAAAAATAAACTAGTGATTAAAGAGGTGAAATGTTTATAAAAATGTTACAGGATAATCACTGACGCATTATTATGGAAGCTTGTTTCCGCCACTGAATAAAAAAGGTAATTGCGACTTTGTTTATATCTTTGTTTATATTTGCGAATTGTTTATATCCCGCAATTCTGACTTTATAACACAATTGCAAATTTATCACACAATTGCGACTTTAAATCACGCAGTTCTGACTTTATAACAATTGCGACTTTATAACACAATTACGAATTTGTATCACGCAATTCTGACTTCATAACGCAATTGCAGCTTTAGATCACGCAATTCTGACGTTATAACACAATTCCGTCTTTAAATCACGTAATTCTGACGTTATAACACAATTCCGTCTTTAAATCACGTAATTCTGACGTTATAACACAATTCCGACTTTAAATCACGTAATTCTGACGTTATAACAATTCCGACTATAAATCACGCAGTTCTGACTTTATAATACAATTCCGACTTTAAATCACGCAATTCTGACTTCATAATGCAATTCTGACTTTAAATCATGTAATTCTGACGTTATAACACAATTCCGACTTTAAATCACGTAATTCTGATGTTATAACACAATTCCGACTTTAAATCACGTAATTCTGACGTTATAACACAATTCCGACTTTAAATCACGCAATTCTGACTTTATAATACAATTGCGACTTTAAATCACGTGGTTCTGAGTTTATAACAATTGCGACTTTATAACACAATTGCGAATTTATATCATGCAATTCTGACTTTATAACACAATTCCGACTTTAAATCACGCAATTCTGACTTCATAATGCAATTCTGACTTTAAATCATGTAATTCTGACGTTATAACACAATTCCGACTTTAAATCACGTAATTCTGATGTTATAACACAATTCCGACTTTAAATCACGTAATTCTGACGTTATAACACAATTCCGACTTTAAATCACGCAATTCTGACTTTATAATACAATTGCGACTTTAAATCACGTAGTTCTGAGTTTATAACAATTGCGACTTTATAACACAATTGCGAATTTATATCATGCAATTCTGACTTTATAACACAATTCCGACTTTAAATCACGCAATTCTGACTTCATAATGCAATTCTGACTTTAAATCATGTAATTCTGACGTTATAACACAATTCCGACTTTAAATCACGTAATTCTGATGTTATAACACAATTCCGACTTTAAATCACGTAATTCTGACGTTATAACACAATTCCGACTTTAAATCACGCAATTCTGACTTTATAATACAATTGCGACTTTAAATCACGTAGTTCTGAGTTTATAACAATTGCGACTTTATAACACAATTGCGAATTTATATCATGCAATTCTGACTTTATAATACGCAATTGCGACTTTATATCACACAATTCTAACTTTATAACACAATTGCAACTTTATAACACAATTGTGACTTTAAATCACGCAATTCTGGCTTTATAACGCAATTCTGAGAAATAAAGTCAAATTTACGTGATGTAAACCCCCAATTGTGAGATAAAAATCCGCAATTACCTTTTAAAACGTTTTATTCTGTGGTGGAAACAAGCTTCCATACATTATGCATCAACCACCCAAATGTATGAAAACAGCGGAATTACTATTTACTATTTATTAAATAGGCTAAACAAAAAAAATAATATTGGGACCAACTGTCATGTGACAGACTGACCTTTGACCTCCGTGACACAGAAATGTATTTTGCTATGCACAATTATTTGGTTTATTGCATTTAGCTCTCGGTATAATAAACACACAGTCGACGCTGTATTTGCGCATTATTAAGAATGTGTTTCTTCGTTATGAAGCGATGGCACTTTGGAACATGCATTAACCGAATCTAAAAGCACTTTAGTACTGTTATGAGGTCGTTGAAAAAATGGCTCTGAAAAGGGAAAATCTTGCGCAGCATTTGTTTGATCGGATGCTCACGACATTTGCACATTTGAAACATGAAGTCTGTAAATGCAGGAGAAATATGTTTGTTTATGTGTGTTTCTGCTACAATAATTCACTGATGTGCATCATAATCCACATTAATAAACTAATATTGGTGGTTAATCTGGTGCTGATAAATGGCTGTTTATGTTTTATTCATGCATTTTTTTAGTTGTAATATTTAATAATGAATTATTGCAACACTTTACACTCTCAGAAAAAAAGGTACGAAAGCTGTCACTGGGGCTGTACCTTTTCAAAAGGTACAGTTTTGTCCATTTTAGGTACTAATATGTACATTTTATGTGCTAATATGTAAATTTTTGGTGCTAATATGTACATTTTATGTGCTAATACATACATTTCCGGTGCTAATATGTACATTTCAGGTACTAATATGTACATTTTAAGTGTTGATATGTTCATTTTAGGTGCTAATATGTACATTTCAGGTGCTAATATGTACATTTTAAGTGTTGATATGTACATTTTAGGTGCTAATATACCATTAAGGTACCAATATGCACCCTTAAGGTACAAAAGTGTACCTTTTTAAAAGGTACAGCCCCAGTGACAGCTTTTGTACCTTTTTTTCTGAGAGTGCACTTGCTGCTTCTAAACATTGATATATATATATGTGCATTTTACTCTAAAAACGAGATATAATGATTATTTTCAAACACTATATTATTTAATGTGGAGAATCTGTCAAATCAGATTAAATTCATATTAGATGCTTTCCAATAAGAAAGTGAAAGAACAATAAATATTAGGAAGGAAACTGAGTTTAAGCTTTACATCCGGCATCTTCTGGTTTGAGTCAAACACATGATGTTTATGATTTATATATCATCACTGTAATCATACATACTTAAATATCACACACACACAAACACACAATCTCTCACACACACACACACACACACTCTCTCTCTCTCTGAATCAAACGCTCTGAATGTTGTGTAATAAAATAAATAAATAAATACTGTGTATCCACAAGCAAAACACACTGGATGAACCTTTATCATTGCTATTGTTCATCACACTCAAATGCAAGTACAAAAAAATAGCATTTTTAGTTTCATCAAGATATTCTGCAGTAAATCTAAAGCTACTTTTAAAGGATTTAACTTGACACGGAGAAAGAAGAGTACAGATATCATACACTAACAACGTCTAATTCACTTTCATAGTCTAATAATAGGCTAAACAAAAATATATTTTTTTAAATAATAGTGTATAATTCATAAATCTGTCTGTGATGTGCTTATAGCGCCATCTAGTGATCACACACGAGATGAAGAGTGTGTGTCGCCATCTGTTCATAAAGACATGAAGCTAATTACACAAATCTTAATCTGAAGATATATTTTGGATAAAAGTATATTAATTCTTTCTAATATCAAATTATATGAATGTCTGTGTGAGTTTAAAATATTTCTCTATGAAAAGAATGACATCCAAGGATCGATCGGGAATAATACCAAATAATAATAATAAGGATATTTGGCTAGATATATTCCTGACGGGATTCAATAATTCACATCACGTGTTTACAGTCACGTTATCAGGTCTTTTATGGATTGCTATAAACATTTCACAAAAACATGTGCTATTTGAGCCTTTACGGTTAAAATGCACAATTCCCGGATTCTGGAAGCAGAGCGGAATGTCAGACTGTGTTTACTGATATTGATGAGCTCGTTTCTTTTAATTCAATAGAATCAGTGTGAAATACAAACATCAGAGCAACAGAGGCGCTTTTGTTTTAAATTGTCAAATAAAAGACATTGTAAATGAACAATAATTTTTTATGCAACTTTTCCCGCCTGTGTAACTAAAATAAATGCAAGAAGGTTTATGGCACTTTTGCATTTAAATGTATTTGGGTGATTGTGAATGCTATCAGTAGCCTATTTTGTTCGCAAAAATGAACAATTTAAAGCAGGTATGTAGAGAAAATCTTCCATTATTATTATGACATTATAAAAATATGTCTTACGATCAGTCAACAATAAACCCGAGGAGATGCACACTTGTACATGCATCATTTAGGCCTATTTTCAGACTAAATTTGAGTTTTGTAGTCTCACGACAGGAACTCAGCTGTTGTTATTAATGATGTGAAAATATGAGCGACTGCGAAATAAGCGAGTTTCTCATGTTTTCTCACGAACTTCCGTTAAATCTGGCCTTGATCACAGAGTAATGAGAGACAGAAAAGAAAGATGTACGTGTTTATACATGTATAATATTCATGCAAAAACAATATTTCCATCAGATATTTAAAATGATTGTAGGCCTAATCACAGTTTGTATTTTGATCCATATTTTTTTTAATCCATGTAATAAAAAAGGCCTTTTAAAAGAAATGTAACCTTTATATTTGCAGCAAAGCTGACATTTCTGTTCTACGAATAAATTGATTAAATGTTAACTATTTTATATTTATATACGGTTTTAAATTGTTTAATCTTGTGTTATTTATGATTTAAAAAACAGTAAAGATAGTTTTATGGGATTTAATTATTACTTTTCCATTCACATTTATTTGTAGCGGTTTTCACAATCGTACAAAGCAGCTTTACAGAAAATGCATTATAATTACAATTTAGACTGATCTGTTATCAGAGGTGACCGTGTCCAAGTTATGTATTTCAGAAATTTAATAATTTCGATAGACTACAATGAAATGCAGGACCATCATTGAATATAAAACAGCCCATGTTTAAATAGATAGCTATTTTACTGAATATAAAAATAACATGGGCTATAATAATTGATGAGAAATGATTTTTCGAAACGAAAAAAAAATAAATAAATCGCCGAATTCGAATCGTTTTCAGTAAACCAAAAAGAAATATGGTTTTATTCTTCTTTGCAAAAGAAAACCATAAACGTTTTTTTTCACCAAACGGAAATTAAACAAGAACGGAAGTCTTTAAAAATCACATAAATGGTGGTTTATTACTGTAATTACTCTATTCTTCTCAAGAGCAGGAATATCACAGTAAATTATGCTAAAATGCAGGGTTGTTTCAACGGTCAAATATGGACAAACCCAACCGTTGGGTTTAAAATCTTAATTAAAAAAAAAAAAAAATCAGTTTTACCACATTTGACCGTTGAAACAACCCTGCGTTTTTTGTTTTTAGAACCTAATAATCGTAATCATGTTTTTTTGTAAGCAATAACAGACCCCTCTAACATCTTGCAAATAGCTACATCAACATTTTAATCAAAACAGTTTATTGAAAGCATTGAAAATAAGTGCTGGCTTGACAATTCAAAACGTAAAAATCACAATGGTCCCAAAACAATCATGTAAATGGGCTATTCTCATTGTCCACAAACAAAGTAATTTTCGATTTTTATGATTTTTTTGGCCGTTTTATCCTGATGTCGACAATCAAAACTACTTATTTATAATATTTAAAAAAAAATGATCCATGCTGTCCAGGTAGCCTAGTGTTGGTTTGTTCTTCAGCAACAAAAAGTTACCCTGTTTACCTCAGATGATCGACCGAATTCGAAGTCCCTCGAATGACGTGTGATTCGGTTCAAATGTCAATCCGCGAATGTAACGTGGAGTTTTTGGCGTCGTGGTCCCAGTACGAGTAGAGCTCGGTCGGCTGCCGGGAGCAGGTGAACTGCAGGGCCGCCGCGCTGTTGGACGGAACCGGCGAGGGCTGTTGCTGCTGCTGGGCCTGATGGTGTTGCTGGTGGTACGAGTTCATCATGTTCGGAAGACCCATGGCTTGCATTCGGCTATAGGGGTTGTAGGATGGGGCCGTTAGTCCTTTCATGGCCCCCATGTTCCCGTTGCTCATCTGGCAGGACCCGTAGCTCATCGGTGGCGGAGGCTGAGCGAGCGGCCAGGTGTTGTTCATGAAGCCGGACTGGAGGTATTTTGGGGCGGATAGGTAGTTTCCGTATCCGTCGCCTCCGAAGAGAGACTTCCCCGGTTGGAAGTGAGCCACCGGCGGTCTAAATGGGCGCTTCATGCGCCTCCGGCGCCGGTAGTTCCCCTTCTCGAACATGTCCTCGCAAGCCGGGTCGAGGGTCCAGTAGTTCCCCTTGCGCTCGCCGCCACCCTCCCGGGGAACTTTAATAAAACACTCGTTGAGACTCAAGTTGTGTCGGATACTGTTCTGCCATCCCTTCTTGTTCTTCTCATAGAAGGGGAACTTGGTAATGATGTACTGGTAGATCCCGGAGAGGGTTAGTCTTTTCTCCGAGCTCTCCCGGATGGCCATCGCGATCAGAGCCACGTACGAGTACGGAGGCTTCTGGGACGGGTCCGCTTTCGGGTCGGAACTCGGGTCTGACTGGACCGGCTCGTCCTTCGCGAATTCTTCCTTCTTCACCGCGTTGGTGTCGTGGACCATCAAAGCCATTGCGTCATCATCCAAGCTATGGTAAGATGCCATCGCTTCAAAAACATAAGCAAACAAAACATCAAAACAAACACTTCACGCTAAAAATAAAGGTGTTTTATTGGCATCGGGTGGTTCCGTGAAGAACCTTCACTCTAAAGACGCGCGGTCGTTTCAACGGTCAAATATGGACAAACTTAACGGTTTGATTTTTCTAAATTTAAATTTTAAACCAACGGTTTGGTTTGTCCATAATTTGACCGTTGAAACAATCCAGGTTTTTTTAGAGTGTGTAGCGAACCGCTTTATTTTAGATAACGGTTTTTTAGATTATTAAAATGTTTTAGGAAACTAAACTGATCGCTAATGATTCTTTGGGTTACCAAAAAACGCATTGCTGCGGAAACTCATTTTTAAGAGGGCATGAGATGGTTGAGACGGGACGTACCTGATTTTAGCTCTTTTGGATGATTTGTTCATGCATCAGGTCACCGCAGATCCATAAATGATGACAGAAACTCTTAAATATTGTCCGTGTCGGATGAAATCAGAGCTCCTCGGGTTTTGCTGTGATAGACTCGGGATCTCAGTGTGGTTTAAGCTCGAAGGCTCTTCTGGAAGATCCTGAAACTTGTTTTTTTCTGCCCCTCGTGAAATGCGAAACTCTAGTGTCGTCAGGCTCGCGCTGATCTCTCGTCATATTCCGCTTTCGTCACGTCTCTCTCATCGCTTAACAAACACCGATGCGTTTTACACAAGAATAACAGCTTTATTATTCATACAGTATATTTATAACTAAATGAGATGCTCTTTAAAAATATTGATATTATTTTACTTATGAGATTAGATTTAACTCCACATAGGCTACCAGTGTGCTACTAAATAATATATATATACATATATTTATTTATTTTTGGTTTTGGTTAAAGGTCTTTGTATAGGCAATTTATTTGACACTATTTTATGCATACAGCCTATAATAATTTAATCCGCCTTTATTTCGACACCGAGTCTACATATTTATCTCCAAGCCCATTTAATTCCTTAATAAAAGATCAACAAACATTTAAAAAAAAAAAAATGAAATACAGTATATTTTATAAATGCATTATTATAAAATATTAGGTAACACTTTATTTTAGAGTGTCCTTATATAAGTTACATGTACAAGTAATAACAGTAAATTTTGCATAATTACACGCAACTAACCCTCAACCAAACCCTAATCCTATAGGATGTAGTTAATTAATATCACTATACTTAAATATATAATTAAACTGTAACAATGACACCTTAAAATAAAGTGTAACCAAATAAAGTGACACCTTAAAATAAGTGTATTATCCAAAAAGAACAATATCCTTCAGCTTTGTTGTACATATTTTTTATGCATTATTATATAGGTGTTTATTTCTAATTCATATATAGCTGCAGATTTTGATCTCTAAGCCCAGTCTGCTCTCTCTCTCTCTCTCTCTCACACACACACACACACACACACACACACACACAGGTGTAACAGCTGTGTGTTCTGTATGTCATCAGCATCTATCAGCTCCTTCACGCCTCTGAAACTTTACAGAGAACGAAACATTTCTTTTGTTTTTTAATGGAAACTGCGCTAGAGATCTGTCGAGCTGCTTGCGTGTAGTTTACTTGCATTTTTTATGACAGCCTTAATTAATTGATTTTTAATAAAACACAAATTAATGAAATAAATGTACTTGCTCAATAGACACTATAATTAATGTATTAATACTTTTTCAGACTCAGTATTTGGTTATACAGTAACTATATTATATATGATGTATATACGATGTTATTTATATTTACTTTACAGACATGCATGCAAAGCAAACCAGTATTAAGCTATTAGACCATCTCAAACACAGCAATATAGGCATTTTTATTGTATCAGATGCTGAAAGCAATCCAGCAGGCTTCTATTTTAAATAGACTAAAGCACATTTAAGGGAAAACTTACCAAACTTCCTGCCAAGCTCTTTGAAAGGAGGATGTTTATGGTTCAAAGTGCAAGAATGCAGATGGACTGAAGCTCCGGGTCAGTGGGACACCGCAGACCTGATGAACATCAGAACCGCACAACATCATCATCTCGCACTGTTTCAGTGTGGAGAGAAATTTGTTCAAGGTGTTTCGAGCTTCAAAACAAATGGGTTTCAATGACGGTTCCGGACTTGCTGAGCATGTAGGAGTCACGAAGGCATCTTTACTGCTAAATATGAGCGTTTAATAAAATAAAATAAAAAGAGAAAAAAAAAGTCACTTAAATGAAACATTTCTTAAAATAAAAGTTCCCTATAGAACCAAAAAAAGAGCTTTACATCCTGGAAGCGGTGGAGATCTTAAATCTTATTGTATGCAATAATGGTTTCATAATGCCATAGATATCTAAAGAGGGATTTGTTTTAGAGAACAGTTCTTAAAAGTTTAGTAGTGTGAAGATTTTTATAATCTAAAGAATCTTTTTTCACTTAAAAGAACCTTGGAAAGGTTCCATGGATGTTAAAGGTTCTTCACAGAACCATAACTGTCAAAAAAGGTTCTTTTATTTTACTAATGATTCAAAGAGCACTCTTGAAATAAAGGTTCTTTTTTTTACACTTATGGTTCTGTGAAGAACCTTTAACATCCATGGAACCTTTCTTAGTGTGAAGAACTATTGAATAATCAAAATGACTTTTTTTTTTTTTTTTTACTATAGAATATATAAGGTTCCATGGATGTTAAATGTTCTTCATGGAACCATTAACTGTCAAAAAAGGTTCTTTATTGGCATTTGTGGTTCCATATAAAACCTTTAACGTCCTTGAAAATTTTCAGAGGTTCTTTAATAATAATAATAATAATAAAAGGTTATTTTAATTATTTTAATGTTCCTCACGCTAAAAAAGGTTCCCTGGATGTTAAAATGTTATAACAGTCAAAAAAATAACCTTTATTTTCTTATGTATACTGCATGATGATTTAAAGAGAACTCCTAAAATAAAGGTTATTTTTTCGACAGTTATGGTTCCATGAAGAACCTTTAACATCCATGGAAGCTTTCAGAGGTTCTTTAGTGAATAAAGGGTTCTTCCAATTATTTAATTGTTCTTTACACTAAGAAAGTTCCATGGATGTTAAAGGTTCTTCATGGAACCATAACTATCAAAAAAGGTTCTTTACTGGCATTTATGGTTCCCATAAAAAAAAACATTAACATCCATTGAACCTTTCAGAGGTTCTTTGCGAAATAAAAAAGGGTTCTTTCGATAATTTAATTGTTTTTCACACTAAGAAATGTTTCCTGGATGTTAAAGGTTCTTCACAGAACCATAACTGTCAAAAATAACCTTTATTTTTTAAAGAGTGTACTGATTTAAAGAGCACTCTTAAAATAAAGGTTTCTTTTTGACTGTTATGGTTCATGAAGAACCTTTAACATCCATGGAACCTTTCCGATGTTCTTTAGTTCTTCTTTATGTTCTTCACACCAAGAAAGGTTCCCTGCCTGTTAAAGGTTCTTCATGGAACCATAAGTGTCAAAAGAGAACCTTTATTTTTTAAGTGTACTGATGATTTAAAGAGCACTCTTAAAATAAAAGTTCTTTTTTGACAGTTATGGTTCCACGAAGAACCTTTAACATGGACACTGTACCATGTTAAAGGCCACGGGAGAGGATTTTATGAATGGCGCTGAGTAGATCACATGATAATGACAACATGGCGAATGTAGTACGTCTGGATTACATTCATACTACACACATTCATACTCTATCTACGGAACCTTTTTAGCAGTCAGTCATTAATAATTACATAACAGAGAGAGTATACGTGATTAGGGACGCAGCCCATGTTTCTCTTTTTAACTGGAGGCTTGACCTGCCGGGGCATTAGTGTGGGGTGGGGGGCTTCCTCACTTTGTAAATCCCGGGATTGACCTCTGCCTTAAATTACAAAGCCCATAGAGCGCTCGGCTCTTCCTGGAGGTGCTCAGGGTTTCTGTTTTAAGAGCGGAGAACGTGTTTTCCTTTCTTATCAGCCGGAGGAAGCGTATGGGAAGCTCTAAGCCATTCTCCCGACAACCCGCCTGTCAAATTATTATAATGCATTACACTGCACTGGCACACATTAAACTGTGATTAAAACGCACGGCGATATGAATGTTTGATAATTCAATAATTAAATACAGATCAAAGAGGGTTACTGATTGAGGACTGTGTTTGTTATGAGCATTGGTGTTCTTGACTCAATTGTAAAGATCTTTTTATTCCAAAAGATTCTATGTGAAACCCTAGTGTTCTTTTCTCAATATTGATAAACACTTCATGCTAAAAAAGGTTCTATATAGAACCCCTGAGTTCATTTTGATGAGCAATTTATGCTAAAAAGGTTCCATGTGAAACCCTAGTGTTCTTGACTCAATTTAAGGAACCCTTTATGCTAAAAATTCTCTATCTGAAACCCTAGTGTTCTTGAGTAAATTATGATGAACACTTTATGCTAAAAAGGTTCTATATAGAACCCTAGTGTTCTTAAGTAAATTATGATGAACACTTTATGATAAAAAGGTTCTATGAGAAACCCTAGTGTTCTTGCCTCAACTTTAAAAAAGACTTCATGCTAAAAAGGTTCTATATAGAACCCTAGTGTTCTTGAGTAAATTTTGATGAACACTTTATGCTAAAAAGGTTCTATGTGAAACCCTAGTGTTCTTGACTCAATTTAAGGAACCCTTTATGCTAAAAATTCTCTATCTGAAACCCTAGTGTTCTTGAGTAAATTATGATGAACACTTTATTCTATGAGAAACCCTAGTGTTCTTAAGTCAATTTTAAAGAGCTTTTAACAGCAAAAAGTTCTATATATAACTCTAGGGTTCTTGATTCAGTTTGAACAAAACCTTAAAGCCAAAATGGTTCTATATAGAACTTGACTCCATTTGAAATGACTTTTTATAAGAAACCCCAGTGTTCTTGACTCAATTTTAAAGAACCCTTTTTATGCCAAAATGTTCTGTATGGAACTCAAGTGTTCCTGACTCCTGACATTTTAAAGATATATTTATGATAAAAAGGTTCTATATAGAACCCTAGTGTTCTTTGGATCGATTTTTAGGAACCCTTTATGCAAAAAAAGTTCTATATAAGAAGAAATGTCCTAAAAGACTGCATAATACATTCATATTTATCAGATTATTTGTTTTTTCTTAATTAAAACTAGATCATAAAATGATTCCATGATCTAAAAGGTTCTTTTCAAGAAGCGCCTGACAGAACCATTTAAGGTTCCACTTAGAACCCTTTCTTATAGTGGTTAGTATTAGTTAATGACTGCTTTGAGATGGTAACTTCTATCTGATATATCTGTCAGTCATCATTAACGTGAACTGACTTTAACAAATTAACAGCTGACAAACTTTTAATATGTTATTATAGGAATTTCTAACGTAAATACGTAATAGGAATTTTTAATGTAAATGTTATTTTTAATTTCAATTTCAACACCAGGATGCATTTTTGAAAAAATAGATCAATTGAAGTGCTAATATGCAATTTTTAATGGAAAAATATCACAATATGTGGACAAAAAAGTTGGTTTATTTTATTTTCTCCATGTATACAAGTGAACTTGAGACAGTTCATTATTAATATTAATAAGTTGACAAT